AGATTGTAGTTAACAATTGTTGTTCGTACTGCCGTTGAAAGTGTTTTCTGTGCACTATACTGCCTTGTTTCAGTGCACTAGTCCGTTCGCAAAGTTGCTGGAGAGATTTTGCGCGTCCGCACTGTGCAGAAACGGTCAGGGTGCGAGCGACAGCCCGAAAAAGTTTCTTGCACGCAAACAACAAGAAATTGCAGTGCGAATTAAACTTTTGTTTTTGCATAATGCATGTCGCAAAAATTACTGCAGCGGCTTTACGGACGGACTAGTGGTAAACCCCTACCCTCAGGCGACCTCCCCACCTGAGTTTTCGGTAGCCGTTACAAAGTGCAGTCTGTACAGTTTACACATTCCTTTATAGTTTGTTAGATCGCCAATATGCGGCATTTTGAAGTACGCCTTGTTACACATAATAAGTAGGCTTTCGGGCTACAAATCGTAGTTGTTTCTGTACTTCAAGTCCTTTGGCGTACGTTCTTTTTGCCTCCTTAATGAACGGCCCGTGCCAAGTCCTTTGTACGCTCTGCTTGTTGAACCGTGTTCAAGAATTTTTAATTTTTGACGTTTTACGAATGACAATGAACGACTTCCGCTTGTTGGACAATTGTTTGAGTCAGAAAAGGGATTTTTTCACGTCAACTCCCGCTCTCACACCTGAGCAAGGCGGTTGGCAAGGGAAGGGTCTCAAGCGAGCTGAGAATTTCCTTAAATTTTCGCGTTCGCGTTGCTCATAGGCCGCATGTCAATTAATGAAATTTTTGGCTCTTTTTTGTCTCTATATCTGCCAGTTTTCTGTAAAACAAATTTGGCTAAATTTGCGCCAAGTTTCATCAAGATCTGAGCGTCACACACGGGGTACCTCCAATAATTTGCGTTTCGTTAAACTTATCTTTCTTATCTCTTACGCGATTAGGTTTGGAATTTTTTCAAAAAAATTTACATGTAAGTATAAGTCGTGCCATAATCCCTTGGCACCGATCAGCACACTAATTTATTGAATTCATCCACCGCTTTCAAACTTATAGGAGTTGGATTTCAAAAAATTGGTTTCTGAACCTTTAAAGATCTCTGGTTATCCTTGTAACTACGTTAGAGTTTCCTGTAAAAACAAACGTAGGTTGTTTTCTAGACATTCCGGCAGAATCTCCGCGGTTCTTCCAGCTGCCCGCGAAGTTGTTTCCCCGAACTGTGAACCCGCCGAATTTTTTCGTGGCGTCGGCGGTAAATTAAAAAATCTCAACTGTATGCACAAAAATCGACTGAATTTTTGAGCCCAGTTAATAATGGCAATTTTCCGGAACCTGGCCAAAAACATTTCCCCTTCAACCAACTGTTTCCTGATGTCTTAGCCGCTCCAAAAGCCTTTGAATGGGCCGGTTCTTGGTCCCAACCCTGTTATTCGATACGACGCCAAAAAAGCCGGGCCGAGCAAACTTTTGTTTCAAGGATTTCAGCTGGTTATTGCGTAAGCGTACATAATATTTGTGGGGTTTACACTCGTATCTAATTTATAGGACTCATTGTGCTGCGTTTCCATAATAAACCTGGCACAAGCTATGTGCTCAGAATTTTTTATGGGCACATGCGAAAAAATGAGGAAGTGTTTTTTAAAAGTGCGACGTTCAAATTTTAGTATAATTTGGCCCCAAAAAAAGAAAAAAAGTGCAATTTTTTTCGGATACGCGATTCGACCGAGTATTCATTATCTTCCCGACAGACTGATACCAATTCCTAAAAACTTCAGCTCTTTCGGTCATTTCTAAATTCGAGGTCTTTACTGCCATTGCGCTTCATACCCACCATGCCGAGGTGCACGTAAATCCAGCGCATTTCCTGAACCGTTTCGAAACTTCGTATCGTTTTCATTGATGTAAAAAAGAGACGAAATGTTGCGAAATTGTCGGCACGTTTCTGTTGATTTTTCACTTTTTCTTTGACGCGCAGTATGTTGGGAAAACAATGTGGACTAGCGATTTGATTTTGGATGCGACAGGGATTTGCCTGTGAAATCTTGCGGCGACGCAGCTGAAAAGTTTCGCCGCGGTGGTTTTTCAACTGCACAGTACGAAAAGCCTGCGACAAAAAGTCTACGCACTTTTGAGAAAACGTAATATTAGTCTGTCGGGAAAATAGCACTTTGTCGCATCAAAAAAATTCTGCGAAAACGAATTGTCCCGCGGCAAAATCAAATTGCTTTTCACTTCAGCGACTTGATCGGCGAAGCGACAGGATGCTCATTATTTTCCCGACAGACAAGTATGACGAATATTTTTTCGCCTTGCTCGTGAAAAAAATATGCAGGGGTCCCATTGAACTTGCTCTTAATAATAGCAATCATTACTTAAAATAGCCCAGTAACTCTCAATTATTTCCCCCCAGGGCGCCTTGAGGACTCCAATTTTTGTCGGGAGATCTCGTGGCTTTCTCAGGGCCTCGGTTACCATGAGCTTGTCAAACAAACAATCTCCCCGTTTTTCTTCGAGTTGCATTGTTAGTGGAGTTGTTGGTTCCGTTTTTACCTCCTCTTTCTCTTTTTTTCACATTCCGCCGCGGAAAAAACGGAGAAAAGTCGGGGGTTTAACCAAATTATCTTTTGTTTTGTTCAAAACTATATTGCCAGAGGCGTATTTGACCGAAGTGACTTTTGGGGAGAGGTGGTCTGAGGGGAGATTTTTGGATCCACTTTCAGTCTGTCGGGAAAATAATGAGCACAATGTACAGAGGCGTTGTTTGTCGGGAAAATAATGGGCGCAACGTTGCTGCTTCAAGCACGTGGCTGAAGTGAAAAGCAAGCTTATTTTGATGCGATTTCCGTTGCGACAGAGTGCTCATTATTTTCCCGACAGACTGGTGTTGGTCCACATTATTTTCCCGACGGAATTTTTTTTGTCCATATCTGACGGGCTATGGGGGCTGCCTTCCCGATTTCCCTGTGCTTTTAAAAAATTTTTTCCTCACAGTATCTTTGCCAGTTTAGCGGGGAAGAAATTGATTTTTTGCGCAAAAAATGAGCTTCTACGGTCGTAATAGGCACGAAACTTTCATGCCTAAATTGGAGAAAATTTTGCCACGTTTTTGCCAAAATTTCGAGCCAAATTCTCCCTTATTTTTGTGGAAAAATCAACCTCTACGGTAGAAAAAAGTATGAAATTTTTCCTGTCAAAAGTGCGAAAGAATGTTAAGATTTTCTCCTACGTTCAGTGTAAAAATCTTGGTCGTTATATAGGAGTTTTGAAACATGTTTTAAAAAAAATCCCAGCCCGAGTTTTTCCGAGTTGTATTAAAATCTGAGGTTGTATTTTGAACAGTTCCCCTGTATATTGGTCTCAAATATCATCAAAATCCAAAATCCAAGATTTTTTTTTCAATTTCCCTTTTCTTTTTTTTTCATGCACTTACAAAAGGCGAGAGAAAAAGTCGACGGAGAGGTCTGTAGCAGCCCCAGAAGCGCCTGTTTAATTAGCTGAAGGTGCAGTCATGTCTACGACGACCACTAAACAAACATTTCGATCCTGATCTCTCATCGGATATCGGGAAGTACGAAGAGAATCCAAAAAGAAAAAATTCTCGTGTTCTGTAATTTCTACAGGGATTTTGTAAAGTTTTTTTCAGCCTGTCGGGAAAATAATGAGCACAATGTGTCGCTGAAGTGAAGAGCATTTTGCTTTTTCCGCGACACAATTCATTTTTTTTTCAACGGCGATGCGATTTCGATGAGATAAAGTGCTCATTATTTTCCCGACAGACTGATTCTATGCTTTTCAAAAATGTTTGGACGGGCTTGCGGGAATTTTCAAAAAATTTTTTTGATTTTTTTAAGTTAATTTTTTTTTCATTTTTGAATATCTAAATTTCGAATTTTTGCACTTTTTTAAAAAGCACTTCCATTTTTTCTCCCGTTTTCTTGCACTTTTCAACTTCCTTTTTTAACTTTCTTTGTCCAAAAATACTTGTTTCATTACCTTTTTCGAGCCCCTCGATCTTAGAGTCCTTTAAAAAATTCTTTTCATCTCTCCCTTGTATATTATATCCATACCGTATTGCTCAAATCTCTAGTGCAAGGGGGTTTCTCCCAATTCTTGGATATTGGTATTTTTCCTTTCAAAATATTACATTTTTTGCGTGATGTGTCTTAACTTTTAATCTGGCTAATCCAGGTAAAAGAAAAAGAAAAGTTACTGGTACTGTGGACGCACTTAGAAATTACTTTATTTCCTTCATTTTTTCTCGAATTTTACGCTTTTTTAAAAGTTCGCGGACTTTTTGTTGCGAAGTTTTTTGCACTGTGCAGTTGATCTTTTGCACTGTGCAGACGCGATATTAGCATTTTCATAAAGTTCATGGACATTTGGTCTATTTCGCACAGTGCATTTTGAATCTTTTCCACCCTTGTCGCCAACGCACAGTGCAAACCTCAAAAAATCCGCTTGCACTGTGCAACTTCTTCAGCAAAAGAAACGATAAATTTTTCAATTACAAAAGAATGAACGGTGCAAAATGAATATTTTTTTTGTGAACGGTGCACTTTATAAAAAAGTTTCCATGCACTTTACGAAAGCACTAATATTAGTGATTTCAGAAAGTGCGTAGACTTTTTTTCACGCAAATATTTTTTATGTGTTTTGATCGGGCAATACTTTTTTATAAATTTTAATCTCTATTTTGCAATGTTTTCGCAGCTAATGCACTTTTAGTGTTATATATATACCTTGGTTTTGGGTTTGTGCTTGTTTTGTGGGGATGGATTGGCTTATATAGTCATTGTTCTCACACGAAATTGACTTGTTAGGAAGACAATACTGTTCTCTGCCGATTTTTGTCGCACAAAGCCAGTTCGCGGTGGAGAATTGGGACATGTGCAAAGACGTCTCAAGATTTTTTGGCACGCCAATTTCATAAAGTGCATGGACATTTAAATTTTCATAAAGTGCTGTGCATTTTTTTTGTCCTTAAAGTTTTTATCGATGTATGTATATCTTGCATATGTGTGGCCTTTTTGGAGGATGTCTGAAGAAAACCGCTGTGAGATAACTATCGTATGGGGCTTTTTATTTTAAATTAAAACATGGAATTTAACTTTTTTTTCATGAAAAACACGTACATCCGTATTTTACAGAATTCTTTGATGTTTTTTCTATTCGTAATATCGCGTTTGTCACAACATATGCGCTTCTTACCATTTTCTAAATGTATACATAATAAACCCGTTTTTTGCAGCCTTCAAAATTGAAATAATCAGCCCCGCGTCCATCCAACTCGGCCACCAACAGCTCGCCCAGTTCTGGCCCCATCTCGACGCGACTTCAACGACGAGTGCCTTATTGCAACCGCAGGCGGGCCCGGTGCGGGCGGCCGGTCCTCAAACCCCGCTGAACTTCTCTATCATGTCCCCCATCGCCAAAGATTATCCGCTGACGTTGAAGATGAGCGACGAGGACGCTAATTTAATCCGTCCGGACATTGTGCTCGACTCCAGCTCGAGTTCGGCGCCTTTTTCGGGTCGGAAACGACCGAGTAGTGGGTCGGACGAGTACCAGAGCTCCTCCGCGACACCCGTCTTCCATGGCGATGACCGTGAAGAGCGGAATTTTGATCAAAATACTCATCAGACGCGGTTTTTCGATCAAAATATCTTGGAAAATAGAGAAAATTGGATGGACGATTGTCCGAGAACCCCCTGCAGCGCCGGCTATCCCACCGACTACGGGAATGTGCAGGTAAAACAGGAGCGAAACAGTCCCGAAAGCTACCAGAACCCGCGCAGCGACACCCCCAATGACCCCAATTACTCGCCCCGTAATCCGCCGGCAGATGGCGCCGACTTCGGCCAAACCTTCGAGCCGCTCAAACCCGAGCCCCACACCTCATCGCCGCGGGGCTTTTCCGGCTATATGACCAGCTATTACGGCGAGCAGCCCTCGAGTTCGGCGAGCTTTGAGGCGACCTCTTCGAATTTCGAACAATTCGAGGACTACGGGTACGCCAGCACCTTGAAGTTTGAGGACTTTTCGACGCCGCCCCTCAAAAGCGATGAGAATCAGGTCGACTTTTACATGAACTTGAGCGCTGTGAAGGAGGAGAGCGGGGAGATTGAGGAGGAGGAGGATGATGAGGATGCACCGTCCTCCTCGTACATGTATGGGGAGGGGAAAGTCTGCACTGTTTGTGGCTACAAATGCCCTCATAAAAACTATGGGGTGTATTGCTGTAATGCTTGGTAAGTGTGGGCATAAGTTTTTAAAAATTTTTTAAAAATATGTGCAGATTTATGGCATTTATGCAAATTTTTGAAAATTATGCAAATTTCGCAACATTTTGAAAAATATGCGAATTTGAATAGTATGTCGGTTTTTAAGCTTTTTTGAGCTATTTTAAGCAAGAATAAAAAGAATTGGCACAAAAGAAAAATTTTTAAAATTATGCAGAATTAATGAAGTTTGGTGGAAATTTTACCTAGGCCGTACTGAGACTAGTCACTTGATTTTAGATTTTCTTTTAGCCGGCATCATCAAACAAAGGGCTTTTTAATTTTGAAAAATCTCGTTTTTTTTTTGATTTTTTTCGGTCAAAGCCCGACAAATTCCCATTCGACTGTGCGTTTAATAAAATATGTCTTTTTTCAGCGCCGCTTTCTTCCGCCGCACAATCAAACAGAGCCGATCCTACGTGTGCGTGAAGGGCCGAAAATGCCGCGTGGATTTCGGTGGCCACAAAAGGACCTGTCGCTATTGCCGCTTCAAACGCTGCGTAATGGCTGGAATGAGTATTGATTGTAAGTTTTTCAGAGAAAGGAGCAATTGTGTAAAGAAGTTTTTGGCGATTTTTTAAAGTTTTGTTTTCTTTGCTAAAAAATAAACTTTTCACCTTTAGGCCTAAAATATGCAAATTTCTCCATTAATTCTCGAATTTTCAGACGTGATGACGCGCGCCGACGACTTTATGATCGACTCCGCTCCGGACAACGACATCATCAAGCAGATCTCGAGCTGGTTCACCTCCACCTTCGTGAACCGTTTCCGCTCGTTCGAGAAGTCGTTCAGCAACGGGCAGGGCAAGGTGGCGCGCGGCGAGGGCACCCTGAACAACACGTTGCACTCAATGTTTGTCGAGTTCGACGTAATGCGCACCTACCTGAACACCACCGGCCTGAGGCGTTACATCAAGGAGAAGGACGAGGTGGTGCTGACGAAGCGCCTCTTCTACAAGTGGCTCTTCGTGCAGTGCGTGTTCAACACGCTGCGGCACGGCGGCCACCGGCAGAACCGCGTCTACATGGTCGATGACAGCTCGCTGCCGCTCGAGGCCAAGTTCCACGAGCAGTACGTGATGTCGATCCCGACGATCAAGAACCCGAAGATTGTGGCGGCAAGTCATTATAACTTGATTCAGCAGGGAATGGACGATGTCTGGATGTTCCATCATGCCAATGTTGATGGGAACGACTTTGCCATCTTCAATCATCTGATTTGCCTGAGGACTAGTGAGTTTTTGACTTGGATTTTGGGATTTAGAGCGGAGGTTTTGAAACGAATTTTTTGATGACTTAAAATTTATATAAAATCATTTACAGTCCGAGAAATGTACCCGCAAAACAAGGAGATCCAAACGGAGATGAACTCCCTCTTCAAGGCGTCCCATCAGTACTACAAGTCGGTCTTTAAGGACTTCCCCACGAGAATGGGCAATCTTGTGCTGTTGATGAATGAATCGGAGGTAAGAAAATGGGGGAAATAGCGGAAATATCAGTCTGTCGGAAAAATAATGAGCAATGTGTGCTCCGATAGCTAGTGAAAATCAATTTGATTTTTCCGCGACACAATTTATTTTTTTATGCGGCGATGCCATTTTCGATACGACAGAATGCTCATTATTTGGATGATTTTGGATTACAATTGACGATTGGTACAATTTTCTAAATGCAGCGAAACTTATGTGCAACAAACCGCAACGGTCCCAAAAATATTTTCCGCTATAGACGGGTTTTGTTGTACAGAAGTTTTTCTCAGCCCAAAGTCGACAATTGGGACCTCTGAAATAATTAGTTATAAAGGGGCTTCGTTGTATGCGGTTTTTTTTTGTGGAAAGATTCAACTATATCAATCTGTCGGGAAAATAATGTGGATTTGTCGCGTTTTGAAAATGCCCATCCTCGCTTTGTGACGGTTAGCCACGTGGTTATTTGGTGTGCGGCTGTGAGGACGAGAGGCATTTTGCTGCGAAAAACCCAAATTATTTTCCCAACAAACTGATATCAGTCTGTCGGGAAAATAGTGAGCGTAGTATCTGATCGTGTCGCTGAATTAAAAAGCAATTAGCGACACAATTCATTTTCTCGACGGCAATGCGATTTTCGATGCGACATTATGCTCATTATTTTCCCGACAGACTGATATACAAGGTTGAGGAGGTACCCCAAGGACAAGTCTTCAATCCTTTGCAAATTTTGATGACTCATTAGTCCTTTGAACACTAAAAAATGTTATCCATTTCAGGTGTTCACCCTCAAGTTCAAAGAGTGGGTTGTTCTGATGACATTGTCGGGAGTCCGCTCCGCCCTGCAGCAGATCGAAGACCATTGGGTGGCACATGGTAATTACAACGTCTGCGACGTGTCGCTCAGCTACATGAAACGCCAATGAGCTCGCCATCCGATCGATAATCAACTTAGGTTTTACATTTGTTTCACCCATCCAGGTTACTGTTTCTTTCTCTGCGTCAATTTTGTTTTGAGTATTGTAAATAACTACAAATTTCTTCTATTTAAACAATAATTTAGGACAAATTAAGATTGCCAATCGTATTTTTGAAGCGTTTACAACTTTTTGCGACATTTAAATTTGCTTGTTGTTCGGAATACGCGGTTGTACATAACTTATTTTATTCGTCTCTAAAAAACGCCATCTCTGCTACAAATATGGCGGTTAAATTGTAATTTTTTTCTTGATAACAGTGATTCAATACTGTCTAATTTAACTAAAATTGATTTTGAATTGTTTATTGATCTCAGCGCAGCAATAAATTTTTGGAAATACGAACAAATTTTGATGATTGATCGCCGAATTTTTATCTAAAAACATGCAACTTGAACTGTTTGTTCTCCCGTTTCGTAAACGAATACTAGACGGAGGATGTGTAAAACGTGACAGGGTTGACGATAGCTTATCGGTGAAAAAGTTTAGCGATCCGCATAGCATCATGTAGGAGGGAAATGAAGAAAAGTTTCAGACCAAGTGACCAAGATCAGCAACGACCAAAATCGCGGGGAATTGCGATTGAATTCGTGGCGATTTAGATGATAAATATACGTGGTTATGTTTCACATGTAGTCGACAAGGTTTTGACAAAAAAATCGAGGCTTTCCGACCGGCAGCCTCAAAGATTTTGCGAGAAAAGATCAATTTCAGGCATTTTTTAAACGTCGATTTTGCCGCCTACAAAAAAAAATCCTCCCGCTGTCTGCTTGAAAGTTTATTCCAATTGCAAAACCCTGCAACATGCTCGATCTTAATATCCGGGCGCCAATCTGGCTGGAGGACAATGATCGCAGGTTCCTGGAGCACCTGGTTGACCCGCCTTGCCTGGCGGACCCGATGGTCCACTGGGTCCGGGAGGGCCTTTTTGTCCCTTCTCGCCGGGTGGACCGGTTGGGCCTGGCTCGCCGTCTTTGCCGGGTGGACCGGCGCGTCCCGGTGACCCTGGAGGGCCTGGTCTTCCGGGCTGGCCTGGAGGTCCGGGCTGTTGCGCTTCGCCGGGAATGAGTTGGCCCGGCTCTCCGGGTGGGCCTCGTTGACCGGGCTGGCCCGGTTGACCATTTTGGCCTTGAGGTCCTGGAGGGCCGGCGGGGCCTTCTTTGCCGTCCTCGCCGTCTGAAAAACAGTTTTTTAGCCCATAAATCCCATAAAAATGCTCCAAACTCCCTAAAGAACCAAACAAGCTCACTTCTTCCAGGTGCCCCTGGCTGTCCATCGTTTCCTGGTGGGCCAGGTGGCCCGGGCTGTCCAGTCGGCGCTTGACAAGGGCATTGCGGTGGAATTGGCAACAATCGATCGTGAAGTTCAGCATCAGGCCCTGGAGGACCTGGTTCTCCCGGTCCTTCACCTGGAGAACCGTCTTTTCCTGGTGGTCCGGGTGGACCATCTGGGCCGGGCGGGCCTTGCTGACAGGTGCAGCAAACGTCGTCCGCGGCTTGCCGAGCCACACGCTTCAGGAGGAAGGCGGCGGGAGCGGCGGAGGAGTCTTCTTCGGGCTCGAAGCCAACTTCCAGCATCTCGTTCCAGAGGTCGCGGGAACGGGAACGGCAGTATTCAACTTCTCCCTAAAGAATGATAAAAGTCGAGGATTTAGGAAGACCCAAGGCTGAATTTTACAGCTCATCTTCAATTTCAAGACCTTGTGATTGCCTATGATCAAGAACAGCAAAGAAAAATCTCAAAGAATGCCACCAAATCTTGAAAAAATCTCAATTCTCCACCGCATCTTACCTGAATAGATGCCTGAAGAGTCTGAACGTAATGGAAGACCAATGGGAACGTGATCAGACACGTGGCAATGGCTACGGTGCTGAAAACCACAGCAGCGAATGCCACGGACCTCAGCGAGCCCTTCTCCTGCTTCTCCGAGTACATGGCTGAAAAGAACGACGTGTTTGAGTAAGTGGGAGACTTGCGCGACCGTTTACGCGCAACAGTGGGTCATTTGCGAAATGAGAATAATCGGGAGTTAGGAGGGGCGACCCGAATGAGTTCTGGAAGGAAGGGAAGGACAGGGAGAAGTTACGGAACGCAGGAAATGGGTTCTGGTCACGGTTTCATGTCACAAAAGCTCTCAGAAACAGAACGTTTCTACTAGGCCGTTCGTAAAGTCGTTGGAGAGATTTTTGGTGCTTGCATTGTGCAGAAAAAGTTAGGGTTGAGCGACACCCCAAAAAAAGTTTATTGGATAGTGCACAGTGAATTTTAGTTTTCTCACAGCGCACATTGCAAAAATCACTCCAGCGGCTCGGACAGCTAAAAAGAGACGATGAGATTTAGTCACAATCGTTTGAGTTCCTATTTGTAATATCAGTCCGTTGGCAAAACAATGTGGATTTTTCGCAGGAAAATGTTTTGCCTAGTCGGAATCGCCTACCAAATCTCCAGCTACGGCTAGCCGTCGCAAAGCGATGACGGGAGACTTCAAAGCAAAAAAAATCCACATTATTTTCCCGACAAATGAATAAAAGAAATGTCAGGGGTAAAATGGATTGCGCGGGTTTCCAAGAAAGGTCCACATGACCAAACAGCGAGCGCTACAAGATTGGGACGGTCAAAATTAAGTCAGCCAGGAGATGGTGGGCAGCAAGCATCCGGTTTCTGTAGGACTTTACCGGTGTTTTTGTAGAGTCACTGGAGTGATTTTGGCGACGTGCACTGTGCAAAAAGCCGTATTAGCGACAGTCAAAATGCGATCGTTGCACGGTGCAAACGCAGGAAATTGCACATTGTGCTTTCGATTTCTCACAGTGAATGTTGTAAAAATCACTCTAGCGACTTTGTGAACAGAGCAGAAAGATTCCAAAGCAAAGCCCAGTCTTCTTGCCGACCCTCTCGCATTGGTATGATCATTTTCCGTCAATCAGCTCTGATATCAGTCGGGTGATAAAATAATTTCAATTCGTCACTGGAAAACCTCGTGCCATTCCTTAAACCACCCACCGAAAATAATCGACTTCCTCAACAACCAACCCACTATCCAGTTAGCGACGAACGCCCTCCAAACCAGCCTAATCTGCTCACCAAAATGGATCGCACCGAAGACTGAAGGGGATCCGGCTTTTATACAACGATTTTCCAATCGGAAAACAAAAAAACGAACTGTCGATGAAAAGGAAGACGTGATCAACAGGAATTATCAAGGAGAAAAAGAATGGAGGAAGTGGGGGATGGGAGAAATTTATGACATCAAGGTGACAGGAAGCGGAATAGAGCCTAATTCTGAGGGTAAGAACAAAAATGGAAGTATTATAATTTGAGGGTGATAATGTAATGCAGGTATGTTCATTGTCATATTAGCATTTTCATAGAGTGAATGGGCATTTTTTCTCTTTTGCACAGCAACCTTTTCCACGCTTGTCGCCAACGCACAGTGCGTTTTTCTCTTTTCGCACAGTGCTAGCAAACGTAGATATTGCAAAATGAGAAAAAGAGTTTGATACTTTGAAGATTACTCATTCTAATTATACAAAAATTGTCACCATGCACTTTGTAACAGCCGAGAAAATCGCATTCGAAAAAGTGAAAATTTCAAATTTAAATGCAATGAAAATGCACTTTCTAGTTGACTACTGAAGAAAAAAAAGATGCTATCGTGTAGAGAAGTTTGAGTACTTCCTTATACGTATATTTTTTTGCGTTGTTTTCTAACAGTTTTAGAGTTACCGTGCAAAAACACCTTTTTTTGCACTTTTTCCGACTTATCTGCACTTTAAATGCAAAAATGCAAAATCTTCCGAGCAATTATCATTCTGGGCATCCTTGTAGATATACATGCCAAATTTCAAATTTCTACGACGCTCCAGTCTCCTGTTATATCGATATAATTACGAAACCTTGACAACTTAAGTTCCCGAAGAAAAACATAGAAAGCTTGCTGTTTTTACTGTAGGATAGCCTTATTTCTCCCTAAAATGTTTTTTGCCAACTCCTGGAATGTTACTCGTACAGTTTATGAGACAGCTTCATATCATCATGAAAAATGTTGATTTCATACACAAGCGCAGCTTTTTCTATTCCCGTTAATGCAGTCCAAACGCAAGCTAATACCTTCAAATTCACAAATAGAGTACATATAACGACTTTTTATCGAAAATGTCGCAAAATTTATATTTCAAGGCGCGCTAACAAGTTGTCAAGGTTTCGTAATTATATCGATATAACAGGAGACTGGAGCGTCGTAGAAATTTGAAATTTGGCATGTATATCTACAAGGATGCCCAGAATGATAATTGCTTGGAAGATTTTGCATTTTTGCATTTAAAGTGCAGATAAGTCGGAAAAAGTGCAAAAAAAGGTGTTTTTGCACGGTAACTCTAAAACTGTTAGAAAACAACGCAAAAAAATATACGTATAAGGAAGTACTCAAACTTCTCTACACGATAGCATCTTTTTTTTCTTCAGTAGTCAACTAGAAAGTGCATTTTCATTGCATTTAAATTTGAAATTTTCACTTTTTCGAATGCGATTTTCTCGGGGGTTACAAAGTGCATGGTGACAATTTTTGTATAATTAGAATGAGTAATCTTCAAAGTATCAAACTCTTTTTCTCATTTTGCAATATCTGCGTTTGCTAGCCGGCAACACAAAAAAATGCATACCCCTCTCTCGATTTTTCAATTTTTTTTCGACACCGATCGGCGGCGAAAAAAGTTCGGAATGCTGTGCACCCATAAATTTCATCGCAGCTTATTCCAAGCTGTTTTTTCTTCAAGAAAGTTTTTACTCCTTTTTTGATCGGCTTGATTCAGCCAAGACAATGGAGAATATTCGAATACGACGCAATTTTCCGATTGTTCTCATCCGTTTTTGGTGTGACCGTTTCTCCGTGAAGGAGTTCTCTTCCCGTCGGATCAATTATAACATTACAGATCGAAGAGCAAGTGGAAGAAGGGGATGACGTTTGGGTCGACTACAAATCACGCCTAATTTTTGAGGCTCTTTACATGTAGTGTTGAGAGTGTTGGAAAGTTGTGAAAAAGCGGGACTCGCTGCCCGGATTTTAAAGAGCCAAAGGAACTATCAGTCTGTCGGGAAAATAACGAGCACATGTCGCTGCACCATGCGTGTCGCTGAAGTAAAAAGCAATTGATTTTGCCGCGGCGCAATTCAATTTTTCAGCAGCGAGGCGATTTTCGATGCGACTGAGTGCTCATTATTTTCCAGACAGCCAGATTTTCATAAAACGTAACACAAATTCTTCATCAAACTAATCATAAATTCCCTGTCCGCCGTCCGCAGTTTGCGTGCTCTCTCGGCCGCAAAGATTATTGAATATTTCGGATGTGCCAGAAAAAGACGAACAAAAATTTTCAGGAAGTGATACATGGCCTAAAGAAGATGTATCAGTCTGTCGGGAAAATAACGGCGGATCGCCGCGCCTCGGAATCGCCCATCATCGCTTTGCCGCAGCTGGAGATTTGGTGCGCGATAGCGGTGAGGCAAGACTTTTTGATGCGACAATCCGCCGTTATTTTCCCGACAGACTGATATTATGTTTAAAATTTGAAAAAAATCCGAGCGTGGCACTCGAAAACTTCCTATGTTAAAACAATATTTTCTCATTGTAAAATACGCCCTCAGCCAAAAGGCTCGTTATATTTCTCCGACGATTCACGGCCAAAAGATCGGCGAATTTTTTCCTCCACATTTCTCGAAGCACCATGTACAGAGGCTTACATTAAACATCTATTTATTCCGGCAAACAAAAATTCAGACCGGCATTACAACATTTTTTTTGGGGAAGCCCCAAAACCGACCGTCCATTTGTTTGTGCAAATAATCAAAGTAGATCTCCGTCGATTCCTCTCGTTTCATTCGGATCTCCCTGATCTCCGAGCGGCCTTCGAACTCGTCGACTTTTTTGATGTACCTTGCCATTGACATTACAATCGTTAGTTGCATTACCTGCATATAGAAACGTTGAAAATATTTGTGGGAAACTAAGCGTAAATATTAGTTTTTTTTTCATAAAGTTTAGAGACTTGTCGGCGCTTGTCGAGAGACCCATTTTTCACAGCAAATTTCACCTTTGTCCCTTCAAAACCGTTACCTTCTTAATCCTCGCTACAACTCACATTATGAATATAAATGATCATGATGATGACATTGACTCGATCTTGCACCCTCAATTGCAATATCCGCGCGAGAATGCTCAACAAGAGGTAGATTGTGTAAAAAGTTGAGTGCACCATTGTCACCGGGAACACCAGCTTCCCGGTCAGGTAGTTTTCCTGCATCTGATAGCTGCGTCCCAACGAGTACTGCCCGACAATTCTGAAGAGAAAGCTATGAATCGAAACAGTGGCGCATACATTTCGCTGCGCCCGGTGTTATTCACATGGCGGAGAAGGAAGTCGCCGGCAGTGGTGATCAGTTCGACGGGCAGGAGGAAGAGCCACAGGTAAAACATCCGCTCGGCGTTTTGCGGGGTCATTGTGATACAATAGGGCATGATCATTTTGTAGGTGGTCGACAAATTGTGGTCGTAGTTAAGGAGAAAGGTGAGGATCCACTGAAACAAGCGTGGAATCTAGGATTTTTTTCTGTGAGTTATCAGTTTGTCGGGAAAATAATGAGCAATCTGTCGTATCGAAAATTGCATACTCGAGAAAATGAATTGTGTTGGGGCAAAATCAAATTGCTTTGCGCTTCAGCGACGTCGGTGCAGCGACATTGTGTTCATTATTTTCCCAACAGACCGATATATGTATACAACACTCGTGGCAAAGAGTTCACCTCCCCCCATCCCTCCGACACGATTTTACTTACCACCGCTGCACACAGCACCACTCCAGTTGAGCAGCCCATTCTTTCGTAACTTTCCTTACAAAAACTGGCAAACACTCTCTCCAAAAGCATCGCCACATGAAACAGTGACATTGTGGAGACCATCCAGATTAACGGCCACTTTAGCAGAACGCTCAACCAAACCGTATAGACGTTCTCACAGTGGCCAGTGTAAATGAAACTTCGAAAAAATGCAAAAAGGTTGGATACAACGCCAGTGGAAAATTCGATGAAGATTGAGATGCCGATATTGTAGAGGAGGATCTGAAATAAATTTTTAGTCAGAACGATGTAGAAGGGCTGTGAAAAAAGTAGAATACTCACCTGAAAGTTCTTGTGAACTGCGAAACAACTGGGCCGCTTTGTAATGCGAAGAAGTAAATAGAGGCCATACATTGAAATGCCGGCAGTTAGAAGTTCCGTAAACCTGAGCGCAACGTTATTTGAAAACCGTGAGCTCTCTTCACATACGTCGGAAGGTATCATTCTAAACGAAAGCAAGCGTTACACCCTGGAACCTCTTCAGCGGTCTGTTCTATGCACGAGCTCTCGCACAGCGATATCTACCCGTAACGTAAAGTTATATCGAATTTGAACACCGCTACCTCCAGCCGTTTCTGAGAGCCGAGACAATCGACCAATCAGTTTGCCAAAATTTCCCGTATAGTTCTCCCTTCCGAAAAGAAAGCGAAACGAATGGTCCGGTACCTTTACCTTTTCAAATTTGAATCCGGTCCGAAATTGTCAAAAATTTATGAGAATTTTGAAGTAATTTACAAGTACAACTTTCCAGATTTGACGCATGCTTTACGTAAATGTCAACATTACGATTCAAACATCAACCACTCAAATTTCATCGCCAAAAATAGGGAGTTCTACTTCACCAGTAAATTTACTAAATTTCAGTGAAAGTTTAATAAATTAATTACAAGTTCGGAGCCTTGAGGATTAGAACCTGAGAAAGAAAAGGCCTGGAAGCGCATCTTCCGGCCACCGGATTAAGGGGCGGGGAAGGAGAAGAGGTGGTACCGCCCTCAGGCCGGGATTGAAGGAAAAGGTGGTAAGGGTGACCAAGGTATCTTTCTCTGATTTTTTTTACATATTATAGTGATCCTCCAGCCGACCTCCCCACACCAATAATTTTTGGTCAGCCACAGTGACGGACCTGATCCAGTGGCAAAAAACGTGCCATTTTGCATTCGGGAAGTAACGAAAAATGTGGCAAGATGTCCAAGTGAAAAGACTTCGTTTTGAAAGGCGCGCCTTTTCCTTCACAAAAAGAGCGGGCGCGCTTTCGAAATCGGAGTTTTTTCACTTGGAGAGGGAGGGATTTTGCGACATTTTCTTGATACTTCCCGGATGCAAAATGGCACGTTTTTTGCCCAATAAATATTCCTCGATCGTCTAATTCGTTTATAACTGGGTCAGGTCCGCCACTGCGCGACCATGACAAGGGAAGCCCCATCTTTCGCAGAGCCATCCATACTGGTGGTCTGGTGGATGCTGAACTCCAGTGAGAACTATTCGAAGTACAATAATTTAGTCAAGCTTGTTGGTCGATTATTTCGGCTCCCAGAGGCTGATGGAGGGAGCCGCAGGCCGTACCGCAATTTTCAGACCGGCCTCAAAGCCGTATCTAATTACATTACATCAAAGAAAAACAAAATTATGGCCTCCAACCAGCGATAGAAACGAATGTAGACCTGTTTACCGAAGCTGCTACAACATGGAGCTACAAATACGAGACTGCTGGCATTTGAATATTTTAAGAATTGTGGAAGGCTTCGCTGAAAAGGAGGTTGCATAAAAAACATTGCGAAATTGCTATGGACCGCGGATCTTTAATCGTAGTTACTTCCGTGACGGCTACAAAACAATCTTTTCAAAATAAAGTGTCAAAATAACAGTGCAGCTTCATTAACAGCAGGTGCAAAAAACATGATGATTGACACCTTCGTAAAGTGACAGATATTTGCATTTGCTATGTTTTTAGGAGAGCAGAAAAAAGGTGAAGAACAAATCCCAAAACCTTAAAGGGCCTCACCAACTACATTTGAATCGCATTTTTACGGCTTGGAGGTGCGCCTCGCCAAAAGTTGCGAAAATCCCGCGAAAAAAATTAATACAAAAAATAATTGAGAATTTTTTCTTGTTCGAGCTCGAACAAGAAGAATTGAAGTTTGTTTATGTTCCAAAGCTGGGAACAAGGCTGTTTGGTCGTGCGGATCCTCCCAACACCCATTCCGATGTTCTTGGGGAAAGGCTGATGTAAGTTTTTTTTGATTTCGGCTTGGTTCTTCACATTTAGGTAGGATTAAACGAACTTGTGCAATATTTCTCCTGAGGAGCAGGTATTAGACTCAAGGTTTCTCTGAAGTCCATTTCTTGCCTTGTTCGAGCTGTTTTTATCCATTCAGAGGTATTTTATATTGTATATAAATACCCCAGCTTTGGAACATGAACAAACTTCAATTCTTCTTGTTCGAGCTCGAACAAGAAAAAATTCTCAATTATTTTTTGTATTAATTTTTTTCGCGGGATTTTCGCAACTTTTGGCGAGGCGCACCTCCAAGCCGTAAAAATGCGATTCAAATGTAGTTGGTGAGGCCCTTTAAGGACTTGAAAAGTTCAATTTAAAGTCCAAGGTCATAAAGTTCAAGTTCATATGCCAAGTTCAAAATCAAGCACAATAAGGTAAAACTGTACCTGGCAATCATGGCTTTTTAGGACGAACGCAAAAGTTTCAAAGAATTCACTTGTTTTTCAAATTTTGCAGTCAGGAATTTCCGGCGAAAATTCAACGTTTTTCAAGTGGTCAACTAATTTCTGGCAGGACTAGCAAGAAAATAACCATTATTCTCCCTGACCATTCTCTCCCATAAAGCACCGAAGTCAGAAATTATCTTTCTAAGTAATTTATATTTGCCCGCGTCTAGACACTTACATTGACCATGATTGGGTGCATTTGTTTCCAACGCCTTAGTGCTAAAGTTTGCCAATAAGCTCATTACTATTAATATTTTCATAAAGTGCATTGACATTTGATAAATCCCATTCACTTTATGAGAATGTTAATATCAGTCTGGCGGGAAAATAATGAGCACTCTGTCGCATCGAAAATCGCATGGCCGCTGAGAAAATGAGTTGTGTCGCGACAAAGTCAAGTTGCCTTTCACTTCAGCGACGCGATTGGCACAGCGACATTGTGCTCATTATTTTCCCGACAGACGGATAGACCGTCGGTTTAGATGCGGCATGTTATACGATGAAAATTTTTTTCAAATTGAGAAAAATTAGGTTTCATCGTATAATATGTCACGCCTAATTTTTTCAATCTTTTAATGGGGGAGTGTTCGAAAAAGGGAGAGTTCGCATTTGAGGGGAGTTCAGCAAGTTTGCCTGCAACGGGGATTTGGTACGCGATAGCGACGAGACGAGACATTTGGCTGCAACGATCCGCCGTTATTTTCGAGGCAGACTGATGGAATGACGGGCCGGCTCGACGGCCTTGTCTATGCGCATATGGAATACCTCTAAATTTTAATACATTCCCAGACAAAAGTCTCGCTGACTCTAATAGTCATCATTTTTGTTACTGAGGGTCTAACGAAATTCCCTGGTATCGATGAAAACAGATTATGTTTGGAATTACATTAGCGCCAGCCGAAATTTTGTTACCTGCCGTTTAGAATTAGGAAATAAGACGAAGGCTACGATTCTGCTTTAAATTTTTTTGTAATGTGGTAATGCCTAGTGACGGGCTTTTGTCTATGCAAAAAATAAATTTATAAATGGCAGCGACCTTTTTCATAGATCCCTTTACAGGGCATGAGCGTTGGTTTGCAGATACAATTGGCAAATGAAGTACAAAACCTTGAGTCCAACTTTCCAAGGTCTAAAAAAGCATCAGGTTCATGTTTATGCAGGGACTTAGCTATGGGTGTGGACGGGGAGATGGTACCCCCAGGCCAGGGTCAAAACAAGAGGGGTTATTATTACCCTGGGGAGACCAGGGTAATATTGAAGCTACGCGAATATGTCATTCTTATTGACTCCTACCCCCCGCCAGACGACGTCCCCTTTCAGATCACGAAAGGATTAGTATTAGGCCTTCCGGAAAGTCGCCAGACTAAAGTCGACAACGCGCACGGTGGAAAAACAAAAGTTCACCTTGCACCGTGCAATAGGCTTTTTTCCGACTGTCGCTCGCACCCTTTCCGGAAGGACCTGTACTCCCATGGGTTCAAGTCGGAAGAATTCGTAAGCCAAGTTCAAGATAAGTTCAGTAAGTTAAAACATTTACTTCTTTGCACACAATGTTCAACACTGTACGACAATGCTACACCTCAGGCATTTGAGATATCATGTTTTCAGCTGTTTTGCAAGAAACTGCAATGTTCCACGGTCTTCGAAAAAATGCTTCAAAAAGTCGGTATTGCCGACGAACAGGGCTTTGGTAGTTCAGCCCCCCACAAAAGGTAGTTCAAACCCCCCCCCCCTAATTAGCTAAAATCGCCGTACCTACACCTTTAACTATCCCAAACAACATATTTATTAGTCCGTGAGGAATATAATGAACACCCTGCCGCTGCACCGAACGTGTCGCTGAAGTGGAAAGCGATTTGAATTTTTCCGCGAGACAATCCACTTTTCGGCGAAACGGTTTTCGATGCAACAGAGGGCTGATTATTTTCTCGACAGACTAATATCTTTCGCTTGCGATGCAAAAAAATTGTAGTCAAGTTCCCGCAGTGAAGCAATGGTCCGAATATTTTTCCATTTTGCAACCAAAAAAGAAGAATCTACGGCTGTCCGCAAACGTATCAGTCTGACGTGGATAGGGCATTATTTATGTCAACAAAAAATGTTGTTGACATCATCAACACGGGTTGAACTACGATACAAGTCGACTCAAGGCTGGAAGGCAACTTGTATCTTGAAAAAGTTTGTTTTCCGCATCTGTATGGTTAGTACATTGACGCAACTGAATGCTCATCACATATGTCGTCAAAGCTGTCTTATGGATAAAACTTTATTCGTTCCATCAAGGTGTTTCACGAAATGTGGCGGAAAGGAATGGCTGATTTCTTGGCGGTCGACCAATAAATTAGTTTTCCGACAGACGGAGAAGTCACTGCGCCGATTTCGTCGCTGAATTGTAAAGCAATGCGATTTTGGCGCGACACAATTCATTTTCTCGGCAGTGATGCCATTTTCGATGCGACAGGGTGGCACTGCATTTTGCCCGAGCACAAAATTTACGTACTCTATGGAAATAGTAGCACTCACAGTTTTCAATCTTAAGTCCACCTAGCAGTACAGCTTCATAAAGTACGTAAACACAAAATTTACGTACTCTACAGTAATACTACTACTCACAGATTCCAGTATTTAAAACCTCAATCTACCGCCGTCGCGCGGCCAAGAAATCAGCGATTACTTTCCTCCACATTCCTTGCAACACCTTGTTGATATAATATATACAGAAAATAACAGATATACAGAAACATCTCCTAAAACAACGTCAACATCTTGTCTATTGCAGATTCTCGTCCTCGGAGCCGACCACATCGCCGCGGCCCGAGGATCCGCTGAAGATGGCGTTCCTGTAGGCGGGGATCAGGATCAGCACCGATATACAGTTCAAGGCGGAGAGGAGTTGCATCGTGAACCGAACCACACAGCTCACGTTCCTGAAGCCGGTACCCATCGCCAGCAGGGCAGTCGCGAATATTATGGGGATAAAGTAGACCAGCAAGGGGTAGAGTGCCTGAAAATAGACAAACTATATTGTAAGTCTATGCAAATTCGTCTTCAACGAACTGCTGATGATGTGTAACATTGTTAGTGTTCGAAGAATTGAACCTACTTGTAGAATCATCACCTTGACAACGTATCTTTGCACTTTTCGCGTCGAACTGACCAGCTTCAAACCGAGCCGTTGTCGCATTTTCTGCACAATTCGAATCCCGCAGAAAATAATCACGCCGTACTCGGCGAGGAAGAGCAGTTCGATGGAGAAGATGACCAGGTAGAACATGGGTTGTTTCTAAAGCAGAAGATATACCTTCCAAAGCCAATGTAAAACGCCTACACACCCCTAAAAGGGCAAGTTCAACTATTTTTGAACCTCACGCTTGAGAAACCAAATTTGGAAAAGCTGTTCTATGCCCTGTGGTGAAATTAAAAGGGCAGGAAGTTTTGCATGAAAAGTTTCGCACCTATTTTTACCGCGAATGACAATGTTTCCAAAAAAATGATTTTCTCACAAAAAAATTTCATATTTCCGGTCAAAAAGCGTTTCTCTCCTTGACGTTGAATACCTCAAAAAAGCAGAAAAAACATCTACACTGCCTATAAATAGCCTAGTACCACGCTGTTTCAAAAGTCCGTAGACTTTTTTGTTGCCGGGCCGCACCGTGCAAAAACCCGCATTTTGCACCGTGCACCTGAAATTTTGCACTGTGCGACTGAAATATCGCGCGATAAAATCAATTTGCTACCGAGTCGTTGAGGCGTCCCTGAAGCGGTTTTTTTCTCGCGATTGAAAAAATGCACAGTGCAAAATGTTTGAAAATCCTGCACTGTGCGAAAAGATGGCAAAATGCACAGTGCGCAAAAAAGTCTGTTAGAATTTTCATAAAGTGCATGGATTTTTACATTGTGCATTTTCGCTGTGCAATTGTCTCAAATTTCGCGGCGGCATAAAGCCAAGAACAGCTTGCGTTGCAGCGATTTTGTTTGAAAAATCAAATGAACCGTACAGTGGATCGTTTTTCTTGCAAACTCCATGCACTTTATGAAAATACTAATATTCAGTTTTGAGTGAAAAAAAACATGTATAGTGTACCCAATGTTTCTTCAAAATTTATAGGAAATCTAAGCGTCGCACTTGGGATACTTCCTTTGAAATGAACTACATTCTTTTGCTAGTGTGTCGGAAAAATAATCAGCACTCTGCCGCTGCGCCAATCGCATCGCTGAAGTGAAAAGAAATTTCATTTTGGCGCGACACAATTCATTTTCTCGGCGGCCATGCGATTTTCGTTGCGACAGATTGCTTATTATTTTCCCGACAGACTAGTAGATCATGCATACAGAGTATTCTCGCTCATGCTTACAAGAACTGGATTATTTTCACTTTTTTTCTTACCTGGTCAATCACGAGATGTCTCGGCACCAGGCTTCCCATCGGCAACTCCTTTGACACCTCTTCCACACTTTCTGCGGTCTGATCGTAGCCGCCAAAGGAGAAGTTTAAGCCGGCCACAAAGATGTACACCATGATCACCATGTAGACGGCGGTGTACTTTGTCTTGGACCACGCGTCCTCCTTGCACAACATTCGATACCGGTAGTAGAAGTGGACCGCGTTGCAGGCCGCGATCGCCAACGCCATCACTCCCTGCAGCATGATCAGCAGGCGCAGCGAAAACGTGGAGATCCGCTGCATCCACGGGTTCTCGATGAGGATGTACAGCTTGTAGTTGACTGATATGGAGCTCTGAAAAAAAGTTGGGTATCTTGTATTTTCATAAAGTCCGCAGAATTTTCGGCCTTTTTTTTGCACCGCACAGTGCAAATCTCCAGTTCAAATGCACGCTGCAAAAAGGGGTTTTGTGCACGGTGCGAGCTACAAAAAAAGTCTACGTACTTTTGAAAAGTCGTAATATATTTTTCATAAAGTGCATAGACATTTGTCGCGCCCCGGACCGTGCAAAAAGAATTCCCATCTTGCACCGTGCACTTCTTCGATGTTTTTTTGTATTTTACATAGTGCGAAATAACGCTTCGTGGCGCCAGGAATTTCCGGTAGAAAAAGTTCAAAATGCACTGTGCAAAAACGATGAAGTATCCATGCACTTTATGAAAAAACTAGTAATATTATTATTATTATGTAATATTATCATTTTTCACACACTGCACCGTGCAAAAACACCCCCATTTGCACCGTGCATACATTTTTTGCGCTGTGAATTTGAAATAACGCTGCGACGCGCCTTTTTTATCTTTTTTTGTTTTTTGTTTCAACTGCGTCGCCAATGCTTTGCTCAGAAAATTGCACAGTGCAAACGGTTTTTTTTGAGGTTGCACTGTGCGAAAAGAGGAAAGAGGAAAATGCACTGTGTATTGGCGACAAGCGTGGGAAAAAGTTCAAAATGCACTGTGTGAAAGCCAAAAAATGTTCATGCACTTTATGAACAAGTTACCAGTCAAAAATAAAATAATGAGCACATTATCGCTGAGCCGATCCGCGTCGCTGTAGTGAAAAGCAATTTGATTTTCCCGCGACAAAATTCACTTTCATGGCGGTGATGCGATTTTCGATGCGACAGGGCGCTCACTATTTTCCCGACAGACTGATAAAATCATTGAAACATCAGTGCAACAACCCCAACTTACCATTATAGGCACACTGAAGACGAGAGAGTACAGCATATCGACGACGGCGTTGAAGGCCATGATAAATGTGTATTCCAGTTTTCGGTTATGTTTGTACATGTGATAGGATATGTAGATTACGGCTGAGCAAAGGCACGAGGAGATTATGGTAATGAGGATCGAGCACACTGCATACACTTTGTTTAGGACCATCTGAAAGTGTCCGGCGTGGTTGTAAAAGTCTGACGAAAGCAATGGTCCAAGTATTGGCAAAAAATCAAAAATTATATCACGCAAAATTTTACGAATTACCTTTTGGCGCAAAAAGTCTTGAGACGAGTAAAAATGAGTTAAAATTATCTCAAAAAAATAGAATTACCGCTGAAAAGGACACCACCAAAGTACGCTAGTTAAGACCGTAGAATTTGTCGACGCGTTTTGTCGCCCGCAACGCAGCAACTTCCCGTATTTGCACTAGCGACAAGCACTTTTATGTGAGCTTACCTCGCGACGCACGGCAAACCGAAATAGAAAAAAATGTCTCTCTCCCACTTTTGAGTTTTGTCCAAACAAAGTGTCACAACTGACAAAAACAATAAAATAATTTCGAGTAAAATATTTTTCCGTCGAAAAACCACACGAAAAATTCTGTTGTGACATTTCGTGTGAATTTGGCCGATACTGGGTGTGCGAAGTGCCGAAACGAGGAGGCAAACACCCGGGGTTGCCGGGCGACGTCGCCGACAAATTCTACGTACTTTATAGTGCGACCAGTACCGATCCCTTCGTAGAGTCGCTGAAGTGATTTTTGACGGTTGCGCAGTGCAATAAAACTCGGGGTGCGAGGGACAGCCAAAAAAAGTCTATTGCACCGTGCAAAAAACATAAAACTGCACACTGATTTCAGTCCGGCGACTTTCCGGAAGGCCTAATACTAATCCTTTCGTGATTTTTCCAGCATGCACTATGGAAAAAACAAAAGTTCATTTTCCACTCTACAATTTTTTGGAACTGGAACGGTGTAATAGACTATCAGTCTATCGGAAAAATAACGGCGGATCGCTGCATCAAAACGTCTCGCCTCACCGCTATCGCGCGCCAAATCTCCAGCTTCGGCAGCCGTCGCAAAGCGATGATGGGCGAGTCCGAAGCGCGACGATCCGCCGTTATTTTCCCGACAGACTGATACTTTGGCCTGTTGCTCGCACCGTGACTTTTTTGCATAGTGCAGATGCGAAAAAATTGGTCCGACGACTTTCGGATGGGCTGAAATGCCGGTCCGACACCATCCCCATGTCACTCCAGCGACTTTACGAACGGACTAGCACGAATCGCGCTATAAAGTCCTGACACATTTACACAGTGCGTTTTTCTTCCTCTTTCGCGCCTGTCGTGGCAATTCCCCGTTTTTGCACTAGCGACATGCACTTTCCGGCGAGCGCACCCCATGACGTTCGCGAAAAAATTCTATGGACTTTATGGCGCGACTAGCAGTACTAGGCGAGCCGAAAGGTGTTGACATGTTTTCGCAAAGTGCGGGCACATGAATTTGACGTTGCGGCGAGGTGTCGCGCGACTAAAGTTTGGCGACGTGCGAAAAAAGAGTGCACTGTGCTTTGTTCGCCCTTTTCAAAACAATGTTTTTGCACTGTGCGGGATCGCAGTGCACCAAAAAAATTGATTCGCTCCGCGCAACAAACTTTATGCACCACGGCTTACTGTCCAGACATGTCAAGACTTTTTGGCTCGCCAAGTACAAATCCTACCGTGATTTTTGCAGCATGCACTGTGAAAAAAAACAAAAGTTCATTTTGCACCGTGCACTACGACTTTTTGGGCTGTCGCTCGCACCTTGCTTTTTCTTGCATAATGCTGGAGCCAAGAATCACTCCAGCAACTCTACGAGCGGACTAGCATAGCATCGGCTCCAACTTTCGGCCACATTTCTTGACCCACCCCGTGGAAGAAGTATTTACAAACATACTTTCGGGGGTTGACTCTACTAAAAAAACAAATGGGTTGTAAAAGAAGGCCCGAGAACAGATTTGCGTCGAACACGGCGCCCGTCAACATAATAAAGGAAATTAGCCGGGAGCGCACGCCTCCGTCGAATTATGTAAAAAGACGGAAGAAAAACGTTTGTTTTCAATCTATAGTACACCGCCGGAGGCAAAAATTAATGTTTTGTTGAAACGGAATTTTTTAGTATTTTCCACAAACGTGTTAAATGAGCCCCGCCGTCAACACGTTGTCCGCATGCGTAATGCCAAAAAGACGTCGGGCCGGCCCCGATTCTTCCGGCCCGCTGAGATTTCGAAAAGGTAGGGAAATGGTGGCTAAATTAACACGGGTTGGACAGAATTTGTATTTGTAATGTATTATACAAACCATGAACAGGACATTTCCGTCTCTTTCCTTCATTCTAAGTATGTGCTAATACAATTTTTTGTCCTCTAAGCCCGGCAGGTTATGAAATTTGGGGCGTTGCGAATGTCCTTGATATAAAAAAAATCAAAAACTTTTTATCCAAATTCAGAGGCGAAGCCGTTGCAGCTAGCCATAATTTGCATCGTAAATTTTTATGAGTACTCTAGGAAACACTCCAAATCATAATACAAGCGATTCTTATTTACTATTAGTTACTATATTTCTAAAAAACGGAGTCTTCACTACGCACTTTTTAGAGAGGGAAAATAGTGAGCGCTAGGATTGTTAGTCTGACAGAATTTTTCAAAATGATGTCAAAGCAAACCCAAGCTATGCAAAAGTACGAGGTGGGCTATGTAAGCGCCCAAATCAAGCTGTAAGCCTCATCCAAGCATAAGCCTGAACAAACAAAGGAAACACCTACATGTGTGACGCTCAATTTCCTTTAAATTTCGCACACATGGCATGGGCCATATATAAATGCCTGAAAGTTTTAGCTCGCGCTTTGCAGGCGCCGCCGAGATATTAACCGATCTCTTCGGCCGAGAAAGCTCGTGAAATGCGGAGAGCGGTCAGGGAGAAGAATACTTTTAAGTCATCTTTGGCAGTCTTATGCGGAAAAATTGATTTTTTTCTGCAAACATTACCCTTTACGGTACAAATAAGCACTAAACGTTTCGTGTCAAAACTCGCCCAAAAAAAACGACACATTTTTGCTGACTTTAACAAATCTGGGTCGTGGATTCTTGCACATGTCCTTGTAACAACAAAGACACATTTGCGCCAAGTTTCAACAAAATCTGAGCGTCGCACTTGGAGTACGTCCCCCGAAAATTTAAAATTCGGATATGCGAAGCTTTCACACGCAAGTTTAATATACATTTGCTATGACGAATATTAGTTGTAAAAAAATTTACTGCTAATTTCATCGGTCGTTAGTGCCTAAAAAATTCAAATTCTTACAAAGCAAAATGTGGAAATTAAAATGACTGAACAACAGAACAATTTATGACAAAAATTACCGCAATTTGACAACATGTCTGACAAGTTGACGGCCTTACAACCCTGATTGGTTCTAAAGCCTGCCCAAATATGTAGTAGCGGACCCACAGTTGCGGCAATCATCTTGCGGGAAGCTAGAAGAGCTACGGAGACTCTGCAGGCATGTTTGGAAGTCAGCCAACATTTTTTTAGAATAGGCAATTCAAACGATGAATTTGGCAGTTGGATGTTGCGAATTAAATTTCCAGGTGCATAAGTGGCTTGAATAACTACCATAAGGTTAAACACGCATTTTTACAGGTTCAGAAAGTATTTTTTTGAAGCCAAACTCTCATAGCTTTGAAAGTGGTGGATGGATTTAATAGATTTGTACTTATCTGCACCACGGAGTCGTAAATGCAAAATTTCTATAATACTACGCAGATTACGGTAGAAAATTTGAATTCTAATCGGGAAACTAGGATGAACGCAGAGTGGTTGCCCGTAAGAGTCGCAACGCACGTCAAAAAATTCTTTTCAAAAAATTCGTTCAGAAAAGTGAAAAAACAAAGAATCTCGGATCATTCATTTTTTGCGAAGTGCCACAGAATATCGAGTTCGAAAAATTACTCTTCTCTTCGAAAAAAAAAATTTTCGAAAACAAACTTTTATTCTGGGACAGTTTTCCTTTATGACTCAATAATTCGGCGACATTTCATCAAAAATCAATGATCCGAGATTCCTTGTTTTTTCACTTTTTTTGACTTGTGACGCCCTAAATAGCATGAGTAAGCGCGAAGCTTGGAAAAACATCAAAAAAGTGAGGGAAAAAATAAATAAAATTTAACTTTTTGCGGATGGATTTTTTACTGTACGGCCGCCGCTCCGCTTCCAATTTTTTCTCCGCGTACCCGGCCCGAAAGGATTCAAATTGGCTTCACCCGACAGAATAAGCCGTGCCTCCAAAAGTTGCAAGGCTTTCTCCAAAGACATCTTGTGTTTTACAAACTGCCCACAAATGGCATGTGCAGTAAACCGTTCAAAAGCAAACTGAAATGTAGTCTGGGGCCGGCTTTATATATAAACTCGTCAAATCGGCTAAAGGCCCACTTAGTTAATCTGTCAGACGCGCCCTTTAGGCATTGGCCGACTCTCGAGAGTACAGGCCAATTATTTCAGCCTTACAGTAAATAAATAAGTCTATTAGTGCTGAAAGCTTGCCCTATATTCAACTCGTGCTCGGTATAGGACAAGTGTGACTTGAAATATCAGTCTGCGGGGAAAATAATGCGCACTCTGTCGCATCAAAAATCGCATTGTCACCGAGAAAGTGAATTGTGTACCGAAAAATCAAATATCTTTCTAGCCTCCAAAAGCAAAACCACGAAGCATGTACCATATACGTATACGCGCCGTTGGACCAATGATAGTTTGTATGTACGTACAAGCAAAAAAATAAAAATAGTGAGCGAGAAACGAGTAGAATTTTAATTTTCGAATTTCGAAGAATTCCTAATAAGGTATAAACCAAATAAAACTAAATTTAGATATGATTATTTACAGAGCGGCGTCCAGATTTTGATGAAACTTGCTACGAATTTAGATTATGTTTTTCGAAACATGCGACACGCCTAGCTCGCAAATTTTATCCAATTTTTTCAGAGAAGCCCTTTTGATTCAAGTATGTTGGTGAATACAAGACGAAATGTCACACATTTTCTTGCCATCTCTCGTCGTTAAGCGGAACTGGTAATAGTCATTTCGCGTGCGGCCGCAAAGATTGTTGCATTTCTCGGCCGTGCTTACAAAGCGCAAACTAGAAATTCCAGAGATTGTTATGTGGCCTATGCCCGACGCGCCACAAAGCAGGAAGGTTTCTCATCGAAATATTTGCAGCAAATTTTAAACGATGAAAGCAGAACATAAAAAAATTGCAAGGCTTCAAAATAATCACTCTCATTTTTTTACCAGTCGACCAAGTAATTGATCAAAAACTATCAGCCTGTCGGGAAAATAATGAGCACTCCGTCGCGTCGAAAATCGCATCGCCGCCGAGAGAATGAATTGTGTCGCGGCCAAATCAAATCGCTTTTCATTTCATCAACGCGATTGGTCCGTTGACATTGTGTTCATTATATTCCCGACAGACCGATATCAGGCTTACAAAGCAAAAAGAAGAAGCTTTTAAAGCGATCTTGAATTTATGTGCTCATGCTGATAAACATGCTCATAATGTATTTCAAAACCCCATCTATGAAAAACATCGACATTGTGCCCACTGCCTTCCCGGCAGACTGATAGTAATTTCCGATTTGTCGCTTGCGACATAAATCCAATTTGAGAAGGAACTTACTCTTCCCGGGCTTGCGACATGCGTGCAAAATCTCAAAAAGAAAAAAACCCAAGCGTAGCACTTGGACTCTCGCTTGTTATTCAATGTCGGCAGAATATTCAATGCACAGTAGGTGCGAACGAAGGCGCCCGCTTAAAGATGCGCAATTTTCCACGCCCTGAATCCGGCATCAGGGCCGGACGCATAGCCAATCTGCCATTAGGCGGGTGAAACAAGTACACTAAAAGAGTTGGGCCTTGTTACATGCCCAACATATATCCGGCGCGGTGTGGTGGCGGGGGGAATAAAAACTTTAAAAGGGCAAAGAAAAAGTCGTACGCCGGGACGAGACCAGGTTGGTGGTGGGTGTCAACACCCCATCTATTACTGTATATAACCGCGAGTACAACCCGTTCCTCATCGGGATTCAGGCGGCGGTTTGTCGGCGCGGACACGTACACACACCCATCTTCAACATACATACATACGTACGCGGGTTGCGGATAATTTGGACACGTCTAATTGGGGAAGAAGGGAAATATTGTTTTGAGGAGATGGCCGCGCTCCCCCAGGAATATTTATCATATAAATGGCGAAGGGCTCACCTCAACCGAACAGAGCGCGGATTAGACGGTTCGTGCTCCTTTGCTCCTCTCTCCTTTTTTATGACGTTTTTTGTCTCGGCCGACGATTAAATTAAAATTTTTTGAACTTTAAAGCCGTCGCGAAAGGACTCCTGAACCTGCGAGCCTCATTAGTTCCCATTATCACACAAGGGATTACTTATTCACAAAGAGGGATTAATGTCACAAGTTTGTTTACATTGGCAAACTCCAGGCGAAAAGTGGGTCTACATGGAGCGAAATTAATCCTTTCATTAAAGGCGACTGCCGTTAACGTCTTCCAAGGCCTACAGGCCCTCGGCTAAGCAGCTTTGTCGCTATGCACTTCGAGGAATGTCTGGGAGATCATATACCGATATGCTTACGAAACAACCCGTAAATACGGCGAGACCGAATTGACGAGAAGCTTCAGGGATTAACGCGTTCGAAACACTGATATTAGTATCTTCATTATAAAGTGCATGGAAATTTCTGCTCTTTCGCACAGTGCATCTGGAATTTCTTCCCACGCTTGTCGCCAACGCACAGTACATTTTTCTCTTTTCGCACATTGAAATCTTCAAAAAAGCCGTTTGCACTGTGCAACTTCTTCAGAAAACCGCGGCGGCGCGGCCGAGAAAAGCTTACGTCGCAGCGATATTTCAAATGCACAGCGCAAAAACTGAAAACATTGAAATGCACAGTGCAAATGTAATAAGTGTTTTTTGTGCATGGCTGAAGAATTTGTACAGTGCAAAATGAGTAAATCGCACTGTGCGTTACGGACAAGGGTGAGAAAAGGTCCAATGTGCACTGTGCGGAAGATAACAAATGTTTATGAACTTTATTTTATGAAGCCAATAAAGTCTACAAGATGCGCAGACCATAGACTATTACAGCTTTTCGTCGTAAGCTTTTCGCACAGTGCGAGAAGAGAAAAATGCACTGTGCGGTGGCGATAAGCGTGGGAAGATATTCCACTATGCGAAAGAGAAAAAAATGTCCATGCACTTTATTGAGAAGACACTATTATAAGATCAGTGTTTCGAATGCGTTAATCCCTGAAGCCCTTCGTCTTGTGGAGTTCCATTCAATTCACCAAGCCATTTCGCTTACCTCATTCCGACATTGGCCAAGCACGCAGTTCAAAATAGAACAACCAAACGAAGTGTAACAAATATAGTAGAAAAAGAGATAAAATTATTGTGAAAAGCGATGGTCATTTTACAGGGAAACTGCGACACTCAGACTTCGGTGAAGTTTGGCATGAATTTAAATCTACTTGTATAATATTATCAATCTGTCGGTAAAATACTAAGCTCTCTCATTGTCGCTAGAGAAAGGAAGCGGGGGATTGCCTGAGTTGCCATGCTTGGTCTCTTGGCCCGCTTCCGTTTTTCAAAATTGTCAGACCCTTAAAAGCCGGCCCCAATGCACCCAAAGCTCCACTCGGCTCTGCTCCAATTTTTTTTCTTTTTTTTCACCCAATTAATATTTCCTTTCAAGCCACATTTTTTTCTCATTTTGAGCCGCCAAAACTAGGTCGACACCACGCCCTGCCCTTTTAGGGCGTGGTTTTGAAACCGGGCCTTCTTTTATGAAGTTTGCCAAAGCCATGTCTGGAACCGGATAAACACGCACTAACCGTCGTTTTCCAATACACTTAGACGTGTTTATTTGTATCCTCAACCGCGAACAACAGTCGTGTTCCAATGTACATATATGTCAACAAAAAAGTGCTTTTCACTTCAGTGACGCGATATGCGTAACCACGTTGTGCTCATTACTTTCCCGACAGACTGACAAAAAGGCGTACTTCAAGAAAGACGTCTAGGTCTCTGAGATCATCGTCAACGCTGTCTCGAGATGACGGTTGTGTAGAAACGCTCTGCGGTATGAAGGCAGCATCGTCAAGACTGACAGCGAGTTGAGGGCGGGGAGCAGTTGGATTGAGGTCGCCCCCATATAGCTAACGTCGTTAATTTGCCCTCCAAAGCCTACCATCGAGGTCAGATACATGATCGGTATGAAGTACAATATGAGGGGGTAGGCAGCCTGAAATATACATGTATAATATTTACAAGTACAGAATGTTAATAGAGGGCGATAATTTTTGCAAGTTCACTTACCTGCAGCATCATCACGATTATCACGTATTTTTGCGCTCGTCTCGTTGAGCTAGCGGTGGCTCCAACCTTCTCTCGCATTTTCAGAATGATTCGGACACCACAGAAGATGATTATTCCGTACTCGACGGTGAAAATGATTTGGCAGTTGACAACGCACAACATGAACAAAGGATCGTCCTAAAAATCAAGCAGAGTCCTTCAATAATCAATCTTCAGTATTGCATCATTTTGTCGGGAAAATAACGAGCACTCTGCCGCAACGAAAATCGCATCGCCGCCGAAGAAATGAATTGTCTCGCGGAAAAATCAAATTGCTTTTCATTTCAGCCGCGTGATAGACGCAGCGACATTGTGCTCATTATTTTCCCGACAGACCGACGCGTGTATTTTGCGTGTTCTAATTTGATGCACTACCAGTGAGCGCTATTTATATTTTCACAAAGTGCATGGACAATTTTTCTCTTTTGCACAGTGCATTTTGAATTTGTTCCCACGTTTGTCGCCAACGCACAGTGCGTTTTTTCTCATGCAAAAAATCGAGGATTTTTGTGCCCCCTTTATAAAAATACTCATCATCACACGTCAAAAAAATTCTTTCAGAAAATTGAAAAAATAAGGAATCTCGGATCAGTGATTTTTTGCGAACTGCCACAGAATTATCGAGTCCGAAAAGTAATTTTTATCGAAAAAGAGCTTTTTCTCTGGGAAAGTGACTCAAAATTTCGGCGAAATTTTGTCAAAAATCAAACATTTCTTGTTTTTTCATTTTTTTGAAGTGTATCACCCCTCCAAACTCACCTGCCGTGTCACAAAATGTCGTGGTGCGGGTCGTCCCTGCATCTCTTCCAAGCTCCTCCGGCTCTCCGCCGTGTCTGCGGTCCCCGAGAAGTGGAAAACGACTCCATTTATGGTCAGATATGATAGAGCCGCCAAATACAGGAAAAAGTACTTTCGCTTTGACCACAACACATCCTTGCATATCATGCAATAGCGGTAGTAGAAATGGACGGTGTTGCAGGGAGCAATGGCCAGTGTCATCAGAGACACAAGGAAGATCGCGACGTGCAAGAAGAAGGGATGCATGTCCTGGAGGAGAGGATTCTCCACCGTCAGAAAGAACTGGTCGTGAGTTGCGATACCACACTGAAATGGGGTGGCTGTAAAGATATCACATCATGCCAAGAAAGGGTCTGTTAACAGGGTACGGCAATTTTGCAGCCACTACAAATACTTGACAATTGGCCAAAAACTAAAAACAGTTTTAGCCATTTCAAATTGAGCTGTAAAACTGCCACACCCGGAAGATAAACCAAGCTTTCACCTACCGTTGCCACAATCCCCAGCGCCAACGAATACACAATGTCGACTAGCGCGTTAAACCCCATAATCCACGTATACTCTCGTCGCCGATTCACGCTGTATATCCGATATGAGAGGTAAATGACAAGAAGGCACAGGAGAACGGATATCGTCATAATGATGAGTGAGCAAAATGCATAAATATCTTGGTATGCCATGGCTGCAACTGAAATTTAACGCACTTGAATCTTGACTAGATAAGCGTGTGCTTCAAAACACGGCTATAGATTTCATTGGATTGTAAATATAATATTATAATAGCAATTGCGTTCTACCTGTCAATATTAGTTGAGAAATAAAGTAACAATACGTATTGAAATTTTTGTATGAGCACGCGTTGCCATCAAAGGCACAATACGAGCGTCGTCGATAGCCAGACATGGTAGGAGGCGGGCTTTGGAAATTTTGAAAAGAACTGGGGCCGGGCCCGACCTTTTGGGGCCTGGCCGGGGGCTAAAGAATTTCTCGAGTCCTTGGGGCCGGCCCCTTTTCAGAGAAAGAATTCATGAGCTTTAATGAACAAATCATTGAAACCACGGTAATTGAAGATGGTAGATTGAGACCGTTGGATTTACCATGCCTGACAAGGGCATAGCTAGAGGGAGGGGGTAAGAGGTAACCCCAGGCCGGGCCGAAAGAAGAAAAACTGTGAAGGGGGGCAAGGTAAATTTCGCGGCTCGCGGAGCGACGAAAATGTGTCACATGGTGCCCTCTCTCCCAGCCGACCTCCACCTTGAATTTTGGCTCCGCCACCTGAATTTTGGCTCCGCCCATTGATTAGAATTCGGCGCGACCAAGATATTCAACTTTTGAATTACAATAAAAAGTCATAAAAACTAAGATTCTTGTCGGAAAAGTATACGAAACACCAGAGAACTTAGGTTACCAACGAAAATAAATTCCAACAACTCGATAATCGGCACAGTGTATACTTAACAGATTTGATTACCGACTCCGTAGCTTTCGAAGTGCACGTTGGCCACATTATTGGCATGTCTGTAAGCTATGGTTTGCCAAAAATGATATGAAAGTTCACCTTGACGTGTAATCATCGGTTCGTATGGTATAGTTTGAAGTCATTTCGGCGGCATGCACTGTGAGAAAAGAACGGTTCTATTTGCACTGTGCAATTTCCTGCTTTACGCACTTTTGAAAAAGCGTAATACTATCAATCTGTCGAGAAAATAACAGATTTTGCAATGAGGAATTTCAGCCGAAAATTCAACGTTCCTGCAAGTGGTCAACTAATTTCTGGCAGGACTAGCAAGAAAATAGCCATTTTCTCCCGGACCACTCTCCCCCATAAAGGACCTCTGTCAGAAATTATCTTTCTAAGTAATTTATATTTGCCCGCGTCTAGACACTTACATTGACCATGATTGGGTGCATTTGTTTCCAACGCTTTAGAGCTAAAGTTTGCTAATAAGCTCATTACTATTATTATTTTCATAAAGTGCATTGGCATTTGATAAACCCCATTCACTCTATGAAAATTTTAATATCAGTCTGTCGGGAAAATAACGACCACTCTGTCACATCGAAAATCACATTGCCGCCGAAAAAATGATTTTTGTTGCGGCAAAATCAAATTGCTGTTCACTTCAGCGACCTGATTGGCGCACCGACATTATGCTCATTATTTTCCCGACGGACTGAAAAAAGGTTGCTTCCCAATGAAACCGACAGACCCATATAATATTATTTTTTGTTGTTAAACAAAGGAAGACTTACACAGACATCACAACAAAAACACCATAAGGAGACGAGGAAAAGGGCACTGAAGAAGTAATAGGCGTCTGTTTTGATCTACTAACAATAAGGCACCACCGGAATTGGCGAGCATCCTCAAGGCTCATTTAACACACCTCCTCGCCGAAAACATGGTCCACATCAAAAAAATTCTTTCAGAAAATTGAAAAAATTTTCTCACAAAAGAAAGCTCCAAAAAATGGCCTAGAAATACCGTAAGTTTGCATTGTTTCAACGGCTCTAGGAAGGAACCTAGTTGACAAACCAGCTCCTCAAGTGACTTGGTCCTTCCATGGGGACCACACGTCAAAGAAGAAGTGAAAAAACAAGAATCTCGGATCATTGATTTTTTGCGAAATGCCACATAATTATCGAGGTAGAAAAATTATTTTTCTCTTGGAAAAAAAATTTTTCTCGGAAAAAAAACTTTTTCTCTGGAAAAGTTTTCTTTTGTGACTCGATAATTCAGAGACATTTCGTCAAAAATCAATGACCCGAGATTCTTGTTTTTTTCACTTTTTCTTTGACGTGTGGTCCCCATGGGAGGACCAAGTCACTTGAGGAGCTGGTTTGTCAACTAGATTCCTTCCTAGAGCCGTTGAAACAAGCAAACTTACAGTATTTCTAGGCCATTTTTTGGTGCTTTCTCTTGTGAGAAAAAATTCTTACAAGAGCAGTTGTTTATTTACTAGCCCGTTCGCAAAATTTCTGGAGTGATTTGGGCGACATGAACTGTGTGGAAGAAGGCAGGGTACGATACAACCGAAAAGAACTAATTGCACGGTGCGAGAAAACCCCATATTTTCCAACCTTTTCGACAAGAAGAATTCGACATGAATGACAGAAAAAACAGGTGTGTTTGTCATTGTGCACTCTAGTTTTGTTCTACCGACTCAATTAAAAACTAAATTATTCATAAACGGCGAATTCGGTTTATTCAAATTAAGCCAAACCAGAAGTTTTGTTTTTAAGGGTGCACAGTAATCTTTGAAAAAAGGAGTGTTATTCGAAGGACAAACAACAAAAGAATGTAAACAAACTGATTATGCCAAACCAGGAAGATGCGCGCTCGGGAAGGGAAGTGCTGAAAACAAGCGACGATGACTTCACAGGGAGGTCGAGTTGGAAACCTAAGAACACGGCCAAGGGGCCGGACTAATGGCAGCTCCAGGACCGAAACCGGACCCGATAAAGGTTCGGCTTGGCCTGGCCACAAAACAGATTTGGCCCAACCTTTCTCCAGAAAATTGTTCCCGGCCGTCACCAAAAAAGTTTGGCCACAAAGAATTGTCACGAGTTACATGTGTAACAAAGGTCCCATTTCTAGACCTTATGTAAAGATCCCAATCGCAAATAGTACTACACAAAACAATTTGACGAAGTCGGCCCGGCGAGCTCAGCGGAGACTTGGCGGAGACTTACAATATGTCCACTTTTTCAAATTTTAGCTATTACTAACGTTAGTTTTCTTTACCCTAAGGTATTATGACATATACAAGACAAAAATTTGCGGGCAAAAAACAAAGGTCCGCAACTTTTATTTATGTAGATATTATTGATGAGAATACATGTAAAATTCCTCAAAGCAGGTGTTAAGCCAGCCTGGGACCCGATCAATCTTATTCTTTCTTGTAACTAAGCCTTCTCTTAGCCTTCCCCATGCGTACAACGACGAACCGATGTGATCCATTGTATCGTTGACCCAAACTGTCGCTGGCCCGAAGAGTCATAGCGCTATCGTAACAACTCTGATCAATTTCGAAACTACCGAAAAAAGTTTTTTTCTGCAAACAAATATAAAGAGGTTTCGAAATGAAAAAGATTGCTCTTTTTTACTGTTTTTTAGTTCTCTTCAACTGCTTTTTGTATCACAACTTTATTATTTCTATTTGCAAAAGGAAACTTTAGACTGATAAAACTTTTTTATTTGTTAACTATCTTTTAATTTTTTTATACTATTTATAATTAAACATGAATTTAAAACTGTTTTTACTGGTCTTGGTAGTAAAGGTAAGTTCTACTCTTAAATAGACACGGCTTTGGGGCCGGCCCGGCCACCGCCATAGGCTCCTGAAAACGTTATCGCCCGAATGTCATGTCTACCCTTGACAATATATGAATCACGATTATGTTTCCATTATATAGGTCTACGGCGGAGACATTCCAATCAACGACAAATTTGGACATGACGAAAAAGGGACATTCTTCATTGCTAATGTCGACAACTTTGATGCGAACAGTACACGCACCTTTTTTCATGTAAGTTAAACAAGTACAAAAAAGAATCCGATTTCTCAATTTTCGCGACAAAATCAAATTGCGTTTCAATTCAGCGACGCGGCGGCATTGTGCTCATAATTTTCCCGACAGATTGTTAAATATGTATAGCATATAGGACACAAAACAAAACGGGAGTTTCTGAGGTTTTAGGTAAAACAAGGACCTTGACTTTTGGCCTCGAACCTAAAAAGTTATGGCCAATTCAAATTCGACCGCTTAATTGTCGCGCCCAGCACATTTATGACTAAAAATATGTAACAACTTGAGTGCCCTAAAATAACGCGATTTATTTTTAGTACTACAACCAAACGCACTATGGAGCCTCCGAATTGAACATTCTGCATATCCTCTCGGAAAGCATGAACGAAGTAGAAGGCCAGGACCCAAATCGGCATTTGCCAGTCGAAGATTATATCCGGAATCTTCCGAAAGACCCCAATCCTCTGTATCCGAGGCTAAGCGACGATCTCCACAAGGAATTTGACGCTAACATATATGAAATAGAACACCGGTATTACCATCAGAGCTACCCGGTTCAGTAAGGGCTTCTGATTTGAGTGTGACAAGTGCGACGCACAGATTTTGGCTAAATTTAGCGCCCATCCAAGACTATGCCTCATATTAATTACTGGATATCTTAGCTGCGAGTTGCAGGCGCAGAGAAGATCTTTGCGCCCGAGAGACCACGCAAAACGGGGAGAGCACGCTCTATTGCGGCCAAAAGAAAACTAAAGTTCCGGTCAGCGACATTTTGAGTAAGTGATATTTTGGATCGCGTCAGTTTGTCGTTGTACGCACGGGAGAGGCTAGCAGAAGGCTTAGTTTGTATAAATAACAAGATTGACCGGGTCCCAGGATTGCTTATCACCTTTTTTGAGGTACGTTGCATGTACTCGCATCAATAATGTCTGGACAAAAGTTAGGCATCTTCGTTGTTTCGAAATTTTTCTCTTTTACTTGTTACTATAACTCAGGGCAGATAAGAAGACTAACGTTAGTAATAGCTAAGATTAGAAAAAGTGGACGTATTGTAAGTTTTCGCTAAGTCTCCGCCGATCCTTTGTCGAGCGTCCGCCGATCATCCAATGGCTTTGCCAGGCCCCTTAGGCGCTTTCTACAACCTTCTTGGGGTATCCAGCTAGCTCATGGACGAAGTCAAAAGACTTCTCGGTTCCCCCATCTGTGACGAAAACCCAAGTTGAAGAGTGCCCTCTATCTGGAAGCTGTTTTAGGTACCCGGTTACAAAAGACGACTTCAAATACATGTCGACGCAGCAAGCCCTAGAAGATTACCGCCACTTCATCTTGGAGATGAATAAAAAGCTGGATACTCAGGCACCCAAATGGCTGATTTTGGGAGGATCGTATGCAGGTAGCTTGAGCTTGCTATTCATCTAGTAACACCCGTTGCTCTTTCCAGGAATGCTGACTATCTGGTTTCGGCAGCGTTTCCCTGAGCTGTCAATCGGTGCCATTAGCTCCGCCGGCCCTGTGAATGTAGTGTTAAACTTTACGGGTGAGAATTGACGGCTTTACGTTAACTCATGTTTATATCAGGTTACATGCAGCTGGCTCAGCATGGCTACGAAAAGCGCAATCCCGAATGCGCCAAACACCTCAAAGCTGCTTTCGCTGAGCTTAAATCTCTTCTGAATGATGTAAAATCCGAGCGCTTATTCGAACTCTACCCAAATCTAACCCATTATGATCTTAACAACAAAAGAGAGCGGCATCTATTCGCTTACGAGATTGTAATGGACGCATACGGGCAAATTCAAATTGATGTGGATGGAATCGTAAGCGGATATTACTATGGTATTTTCATAAAGTGCATAGACTTGTTTCGTGGCTTCAGTGCATTTTTTCTTTCTAGTGCAAGTTTTTCAACGTCTCCACTCCCAATCCGCTTGAGGAGTTGGCCAGTCGTTTTATTGGGCTCGCCGACCCAATCGAAGACAAAGCTTGGGGCTCGTGGATGTGGCAAGTTTGCAACGAGCTCGGACTCTTCTATTCCCCAGACTTTGAAGGCAGCTACGTCAGTGGAATCTACGACGTCAAGGTGGTCTTCCAGCAGTACGTTGATTTAGCAACAGCGGGGTCCATTGTGCGACGCCCAGATTTTGATGAAACTTGACGCAAGCTTATAGGATTTTCTCCAAGACAAATGGCAGACTCCTAGCTCGCGCTTTGCAGGAACCACCGGAATTTTTAGGTCAAAGCTCGGGTTAAATATGAGAAGATTTTACAAATTTTGGCATAAATATTATAATTGCAGGCCTTTTTCTACCGTAGAGATAAAAATTTCCACAAAAAAAAAAGCAAAATTTTCCGCATGAAACTGGCAGAGATATGGCCAAGAATCAGACTCTTTAACCTGCAACGCGCGAGCTAGGAGCCTCACATGTGCTTTAGAAAAAAATTATATACTTTTCTGCCAAGTTTCATCAAAATCTGAGCGTTGCACTTTGACTGCTTCCCCGATAAATTCTACCCTGTTATCGGTCTGTCGGGAAAATACTGGCGGTAGTAGCAAGTTTTTTTGCTTCATCAAAAAAAGGGCGCAGTCGCATCAAATTTCCAACTACGGCTAGCCGTCAAAAAGCGATGACGGACGATTCCAACCGCGACGAATCCACATTATTTCCCCGACAGACTGATAAGGACTCGTCGAGGAAAATCGAATCACTCCCATACCGTAATTTAGACTCTGTTCAAGCCATTTTGGACCCGAATTCACTTACGAGCAAATCGGAGCCAACGTGCGGAAAACCCGCGAATATTACGAACAGGATCAGCCGTATAACGGAACGAACATTGTCGTCACCAACGCCGAGTACGATCCTTTCAGTGTGCTCGGCTTAACGAGCGCGCTGGATGAATCGGTCAGCTTCATCACCATCCGAAATGGCTCTCATTGCTTCGACTTTCGAAGAGGAAGTCTGTCTGATGTGGTGGCGGCTCGACACATCTACAAAGAGAACATTAGGCGATGGATGAAGACGGAAGATGCTGCAAAAATTAAAGTTAATTTAATTTTGGCATTCATTATCGCTTTTTTGCTATTGTAAAGTGTGGAATAAAGGGGGTTTTTCGAATTTTTATCCGTCTGTCGGGAAAATAATGTGGATTTGTAGCGCTTTGAAATTACCAATCACCGGTTTGCGATGGCTGGAGACTTGGTGCGCGACTGCGACTTCAGTCTTGAGACATAAGTCTTTGAGACATAAAAAAATTTTTGCTGCGACAAATCCACATTATTTTCCCGACAGAGAAATACAAGTTCAACGGCATAAATCCACCCCCGCGATACGGTGAATTCTTCAAAAAAGGTTTAAAAAAACTTGCCATTCCAAGAAGGACAGCAGTTTGGTTCCACCGCATTTCTTCCTCTTCCTGTTTACAAGAAAAGAAGAGTCGACGTGACAAAATAAAAAAAGTTGACATTGGTCAATAAGACAGTAAATTAATTACATGCACTTTCGAGGAATTCAACTTGACTTTTGACACAAGAAACACTTTCATCTTTGACCTGAAGGTTAAATCAGCGACAAAAGGAAATTAAAGATATTGAATGATCTTTGCATATCTTTGCCAGTTTCGTGTGGAAAAAGTATCTTGGTAAAACACTACACACAAGTATATATTAGGTTGATTCAAAAGTTTTTCCACATGTCTTTAAAAAATTTTTAAAAATTTAGACCAAAGCCAGTGGGCCTGATATATATCTTGTTAGAAAGAGGGCTGTTTGTAGATTATAGTAGATTAATAACTTTTTACAACTTAGCAATTTGTAGTAGTAGCGCCGTGTTAAACCTTAACTACTCGAAGGTAGAAAAAGTAAACCGCCGGCGTTACGTCTAGAGTGACTGTATCTTCTTAATATTCTAGAATATGGTATGCCTGTATGTAATCTCTATGGCATCGAGGACAATTTGCTATAGGGCTAGTCGAAAAATTTTTAGTGCGAAAAATCAAAAATTAGGGTCTGGCAAAAGTAGACCCTGTAGACGCAGCTATTAGAAGCACTGAGAGATAACGCTTTCTGTTATTGTAGTGTATGAGTAGCACTACAACGCCAATGCTAAACATTCGCGCTAGCTTTAGCTATGCGGCAGAAAAATCGAATCTTTCTAATCTACCAATATTTTACGAAATTTAGGGGATTTTTACAAAAACGTTTTCTGTTCATTACTCTCGCCCGGTATCCTAGTTATTTAATAAATAATTGATCCTACTTAACATACACTATCAGTTGCTAGACGCGCTAAGCTGAAGGTCCTCTTGCCATACCAGTAAAAAAATTACAAAAATCGTCTAAAAGTGCAGTTTATGCTGCTTTTCTACCTTATAAGGCAATTTCAGTTGGTGACTTTTTGAATGTATTATCAGCATACTGTCTTTGTACAACCTGAATGGCAGCCGAGTCAAAAAAGTCTAACCCCTTTCAAAAAATTTTTAAAAATCTGCTTTTGATCGGTAGCTCGGCTCTTCGGCCAACTTTATGGGATGCTACAAAAAACGTCAGTGTAGATATAAGTAGAGCAATAAATTCAGAAGAAACTACAGCCATCCCCAGTACGAATAACCCAAAACCGGAGACTTTTTAGTGGGCTGGAAAATTGCTAGGGCCCGGGATATTCACCATGACGCAAACGGAGAAATTTTTAGTATTTTTGAAATATTCTGAAAGGAAGCTTGTAGAAAATAAAATGCTACGAATCAAAAATTTTGCAATGGTCTGCCCCATACATCTATGCTTTCAGTTTTAACGTACATTCAATCAGGCTCCAGAAATTTTATTTTGAAAAGTCTCAAAAAAATGTGGAAAAACTTTTGAATCAACCTAATATATAAAAAATGGCAAGAAAAGTGTCCCATTTTTGCCAACTTTCGACCTAAAAAACGCGGTCGTTTCTGCAATGGGGGATCTTTCCGTCTGCCGGGAAAATAATGAGCCTTCTGTCGCATCGAAAATCTCATCGATGCCGAGAAACTGCAGTGTGTCGCGGCAAAATCAAATTTCCTTTTACTTCAGCGACACGATCGATTTTGGCTCGTGACTCATTTTTTGCCATTTGACATGATTTGCAAAAACGCTGGATGATCGTCATTTTATAGCTTACAAAATTTTGTTTATGCAAATTTCAACCAATACTCTAAATCCTTGGGAATTTTGTCTATGTACGCAACACAGCGTTCTGTACTTTTTTGGAATGATTCCGACACCGATTTTTCCGAATTTTTCTAAAATAGCCCGCATTTACGCGGGTGTCGCGAGGGAATACTGTAAGATTGACGTGCAAAATTTGCAGTGCTTGTAGAGTAAAGAAAGATCTTTCCAACGATACAACTTACGTAAATTAATATGGAAAAAGAAATTTGTAATCAACGCTGAAAAATGACCGACTTTGGATTTTCGGCGCTAAAGATTGCCCTTAGGCAGATCTTTTAGAAGAAGTGGATGGTACCACCTTATGCAGAATTTAATTCTCTACAACATATCCAAAAATTACGAAATTTTACTGCTTTTCCGTCGAATTATGCCTCAAAAATGCAATTTTTGCACTAGTTTTACCAATATTTTTAAAATATTTGCACTTTAAGGGCATTATTACAAAAACAGAGTCGTACATATTGAAGCTTGCATGCTAACTGACCGTACTGTTTAATTTTACCCTGTCATGTTTCTCCATCTTCAAGAACAACAGAGCTAAAGTTTGGTGTTTGGACCCAGCATAAAAATGCCCTAAGGGCGAATTTCAAAAATGCGATAGTGCCACTGAACATAGAATTTTTTGTACTACAGGTACGCCGAATTTGACGAAAAAATCAACGTCGGGAGTTTCCGGAATAGTTTGAAACATCGGTGGCCTCATGAACACATTTACGCGTTCATGATGTTGCATGGATTTCTTGGAGCAGTGACAGAAGAAGGAAATGAATCGTTGCCTTTTGAGCATGGCTGTTTGAACGCTTATTTTACGTCCAGTGGCACTATGGCATCTTTGAAATTCGCCCTTAGGGCATTTTTATGCTGGGTCCAAGCACCAAACTTTAGCTCCGTTGTTCTTGAAGATGGAGAAACATGACAGGGTAAAATTAAACAGAACGGTCAGTTAGCATGCAAGCTTCAATATGTACGACTCTGTTTTTGTAATAATGCCCTTAAAGTGCAAATATTTTTAAAATATTGGTAAAACAAGTGCAAAAATTGCATTTTTGAGGCATAATTCGACGGAAAAGCAGTAAAATTTCGTAATTTTTGGATGTGTTGTAGAGAATTAAATTCTGCATAAGGTGGTACCATCCACTTCTTCTAAAAGATCTGCCTAAGGGCAATCTTTAGCGCCGAAAATCCAAAGTCGGTCATTTTTCAGCGTTGATTACAAATTTCTTTTTCCATATTAATTTACGTAAGTTGTATCGTTGGAAAGATCTTTCTTTACTCTACAAGCACTGCAAATTTTGCACGTCAATCTTACAGTATTCCCTCGCGACACCCGCGTAAATGCGGGCTATTTTAGAAAAATTCGGAAAAATCGGTGTCGGAATCATTCCAAAAAAGTACAGAACGCTGTGCGCAAGATCAACCAATCTTCCCACTTCTCCAGTTTGCCAACCGCCGACCGGTCTATCCGCCCCACTTCGGAACGATGGAAACGCTGCTCTATTGCTTGTTTATTGTAGGTCCTCCTGAACACCTTTTTGATCTCTTTTTTTCAGCCGATTATCCCGACGATTCTTCCATTCGCGCTCTTCGCATGTATTCGTCGCAAGGTGCTGCCGCCCGTCTCACGACACAAAACTCCACGATCCGGGTTGGCCAAATCCGCCGAATCCTACGAGGATCGGATCATACCGGAGACGGTGGTGCCGGTAAGCGGGAAATTACGGTGTTTTTCTTGGGCAAATTTTTTTTGGCCGCTTCTTGGGAGATTTTTTTTGGCCGTTTTTTTGGAAAATTTTTTTCTCATAAAAAAGTATTTGTATGATTTGAAAGTTTTCACCTTTTCAGGCCTCTCAAAACAACGTGGAAACCAACGAAACCGACGTGGAGTTCAACCTGGAATCCTCGCTCTTCGCTGGGAACGCGTCAAGCGCGAAGAAGAGTCAAAAAACAAAAAAGAAGAAGGATAATGATGAGGTTTCGCTGTGATTCCGTTGGATATTTGCAATAAATTCTGTATACTAGACTGCTGAAATCTTTATTTATTCGAATTTTATTAATTTACATTTTTTTTGTTACAAGAAAAGTGCTTCTATGGGGTCAATATTCTATTCAAATTTCACGAAATTAAAGTACAAAAACATGAAGATGATATCAATTTTATAACTATTGAGGCCGCTCCGACTTCCATGGGTCCTCCGGATGACCGGCCATGAAGTCCATGAGGAAGAAGCGACTGCCCTGCGGCTGAGAGTTGAGGGTCTTAACCTCGTCGACGGTCAATTCGAAGTCAAAGATTTGGGCATTTTCTTGGATCCTTTTCGGCGTCACACTCTTCGGAATCACGGCAATATTGTTCTGGAGAAGGTGGCGAAGCAAGATCTGAGCGGGGCTCTTGTTGTACTTCTTGGCCAACTTCAGAACTTCTTGGTTTGCCATCGGCTGCTCAGCCACTGGCCATTCCATAAGCCTGTTACAACAAAATTACACGGTGTTATGATATCAGTCTGCCGAGAAAATAATGAACACTCTGTCGTATCGAAAATGGCATTGCCGCCGAGAAAAATAATTGTTTCGCGGCAAAATCAAATTGCTTTCAGCTACGGAAACGGCGCAGCGACATTGTGTTTATTATTTTTCGGACAGACCGATAACATATCTGATATCAATCTGTCGGGAAAATAATGTGGATTTGTCGCTGCAAAGCTTCTCGTCTCGTCGCGTCAAAAATTCCGGCAGCGGCCGGCCGCCGCGAAGCGATGGACCCGCGATTTCAAAGACGAATCCACATTATCTTCGCAGCAGACTGATAATATCTTCTTACCGTCCATTCGGGAGGACGAAATTCAACCGTCCAGGAGATCCGATTGGAGCATACGCGGTGACCGCGATGCTATGCTTCTTACAGAACTCAACATGCGTCTTCTGTTGGAAATAAAGATGAAGTTCGACTTGTGAGCTGTGAACAGCAACATCACTCGACTTGAGAATCCGCTCAATCTGCTCTTCGTTGAAATTGGAGACTCCAACCGCCCTCGTCAGGCCTTGTTTGTAGACGCCGGCGATCCCCTGCCAGGTGTCCTCAACGGTCACAGATCGATCTTGTTCGGTCATTTCAGGCTAAAACATGTACCATAGCTATCTTATACAGCTTTAAAAGTTTTTGTGAACACAATGCAACAAAAAAGTTACGTTAAAAGTGACAGGCTGATGGATGAGGTAGAGGTCAACGTAGTCGGTTTTCAGCTTCTTCAGGGAGTCTTTCAGCGCGCCCTCAACATGTTCTGGACGGTTGTGAGAGCACCACAACTAAATATGAAGAAGGTAATTTATATTCATTTAACAGGGGAAGTTCTCCGATGGAAGTCTTCCCTTGTATAAGCCTTACTTTGGAGGTGATGAAAACATCTTGTCTCTGTAGCTTCCCGGCTTGGAAATATTCCTGAAGTGCACCCCCAATCTCCTCTTCGTTCTGGTACATGGCAGCCGTGTCTATGTGCTTGTAGCCGGCATCCAGAGCCAATTTCACTGCAGCACCAACCTCGCCGGCGTTGGACTGAAATTCGAAGAGTTTTGTTTTGTATTGTTTATGAGGACCCTCAAACAATAATGAAAATTTCGTGGGTTTGATTGACGAAAGTAGTATCAGTCTGTCGGGAAAATAATGGTCACAACGTCGTTGTGCCGATCGCTGAAGCGAAAGCAATTTGATTTCCCGCGGCACAGTCCATTTATTCGGCGGCAATGTGATTTTCGACGCCACAGGGCCCGCAATATTTTCCCGACAGACCGATAGTATTTTCGTAAATTGCACAAAATTCTACGGTCTTTATGGCACGACTGATATCATTCTGTCGGAGAAATAATGTGGATAAGGCCTTGAAATCGCACGTTATTGGTTTGCGATAGTCAGCCGCAGCGTCTGTGCGGGGCGGGCGCACACTTACGGGCAACCACTTTGCGGGCGTCCAGTTTGCGGGCAAATCTTTTGCGGGCAGCCACTTTGCGGGCAGCCGACATTTGCGGCCAGCACCGGAATTTGCGGGCAGGCTGGGACATTTGCGGGCAGGGTCGACAGTTGCGGGCAGCCTGGAACATTTGCGGGCAGCCGACATTTGCGGGCAACCGGCACTTGAGGATAACAAGGTGGAGGTGGAAAAATTACTTCGATATTTTGGAAATTTTCCGACATTTGCGGGCAGGCAATACTTGCGGGAAACCGACATTTGCGGGCTACAGTTCCAAAAGTTCCTATACCGTCTGTGTGATTGTTTTTTCCTGTTTTCCGCAAATGTCGGCTGCCCGCAAGTGTCGGCTGCCCGCAAATGTCAGCAAATTTCCAAAATATCGCAGTAATATTTCCACCTTCACCCTGTAACCCTCAGGTGCCGGTTGCCCGCAAATGTCGGCTGCCCGCAAGTGTCGGTTGCCCGCAAAAAATTTGCCGGCAAACTGGTTGCCCGCAAAGTGGTTGCCCGCAAGTGTCGCGACGCCCTGTGCGGAACTGTGACGAGACATTTTGTTGCGACAAATTCACATTATTTTCCCGACAAACTGGTATAAAATAAAACACTCGCCTGCCACGATCCCAGGCCCAAGCTGGGCATCTTGAGCCCATTGCTGAGCGTTACAAAAGCTTTGGAGGTCATTCTCGAAGTGTAATGAATGCTCGAAACAAGGTGAATGGGTCAAGCCTGTGATAATAACTGCACAAAGACAACTGTTTATCAATTGAAATTTAGCCCAACCTTCTTTTGTTTTACCCCGTTTTTAGGTTGCTATCTCAATGTTGATGCTTGAAATTTAACGGAGACATGTTATCTTTTCAAGCGGTTTATGAATAGAAAAAAAATTAAAGATCCTGTGTTTATAGTTGTTTTTTCATCTGATAACTCTAATCAATGTTCAAATTGCCCATAAGTTCAAGAAAACTTATCAGTCTGACACGGAAGTAATCAGCATTTGTCGCATCGAAAATAGCATCGTCGTCGAGAAAATGAATCGTGTCGAAAAGAAAATCAAATTCTTTTTCACTTCAGCGACGCAAGTGGCGCAGCGACATTGTCAGTTCAAAAGCAAGCCTAAGAATTGTATATTTGCAACGTGGCTTTTCATCGCTATGAGCTTACCGTTCTCTGATTGAACACGCGCTGTTCTCTCATTTCCGAGAACTACGGTTGAAAGGAAAGGAATACAACAAGCTCCAAGTCAGAAGTCAGAAACAAACAGAAAATAAGCTTAACCCATTCCATTGATCAGCCCATAACTGCACAAAGATCTTACACGCAGAGCAATCAAACTTCCTTCAATGACCAAAACAAGCAACAACGCATCGAACAAATTTGACGCAAGACCTGCTCTCCATCTCACAACAGAGAGTTTGACGATCCGGGTTGGCCAAGTCCACAGAGTCTTATGAGGACCGAATTATGGCAGAGAGACTACGGTGCTTTAATGGCTTGTTTATGATTTTTGCTCATTAATTCATGTATGTACTTTTCCTCTATAAGACTGTCTGGAAAGTCATGAGCACAATATCGCATCCAAAATTGCATTGCCGATGGGAAAATGGAGTGTTACCCACTTCGCGAGTGGGACACTTCGCGTGAGTCGCATATCCCACTTCGCGTGCACGCGAAATGGGTTTCACGCGAAGTGGGTAGTCAGCATAGTTCTTAGTACCCACTTCGCGTGACTTGCCAAAAATTGCTGGGGCCCACTTCGCGTGTAGATTTTTTTATTCGTTGCCCACTTTGCGTGAGATTTGGTTTTCATTGGAATTCACGCGAAGTGTCTCCGGCAAATTTTAATCAACAGGACACTTCGCGTGTACCGTATTTCGTTGGTTTGCCTGATTTTGGCATTCTGTTTTTGCAGGAATTGTCGCCTTTAGAGTGGTAGGAAAGACTTTTCACGGTCAGTCCTGAGGTTTTTATGAAAAACTGAACCAGAATGATGTATAAAACATAAAAATCGGCATAGTTTGGCATGTTTTATACATTTTTGACACTAAAATAAGGTAAAATGATTTTTTAGTTTTAAATCTAGAGCATGCAGTAAGACTAACTTGGCTTCCTGATGTCCGTCATGGTCCAAGCTTCGCTTAGAACCTATAAAACCCGCCGTTTCACTTCCTCCATACACTCGGTTTTGCAGAATAACATCAAGTTATCATGAATAATATAATTTTACTCCTGGAATTATTTTTGTTGCATACTGCCGTGTTTGAAAGATGGATTTCTTCCCAAAAGGTCTGTCTGACATGTTAAAAGTCTTTACAGGCCCCTTACACGTAAGTTGAAGATTTTGACTCTTAAAAAAACAAAAAATCATCAAAAATCAAAGAAATGTACGAAAGTCCTTGCCATAACGTTCAAATCTTCAATTTTTGTGTATTATCTGAATTGTTGGTATGTTTACAACGTTTTGTTACCATTTTTCCCTCCGACTTAGCTTTGGGAGGAAAAACATCGTCATGGATAATATCGGGATCATATACTAAAATCGCTTGGAAATCAGTTTTGATGTGTCACAAACACTATAAATAATATATATTCTTGTTCCTCAGATTATGCTGCACATTTTGGAGTCAAAATTGGATTTACCAATTTTTTACCGTATAACACTTACTACGGTAAAATTTCGTACAATAATCGGGTAGATCTGAAATCTTGCGTGGAAATGTCTACCTATATGCTAGACAATGCTGCCAAATTTCATCCAGATCCACCCAGTAGTTTCTGAGTTATAAACAATTTTATTATTCAAAAAGAGGTTTTTTCAACCTTCAAAATCGCGTTTTCAACCTTACAGTAACTACTGGGCACATTTTCTAAACCTTATCTCAGCTCAACTTTGATCAATTTTCGATTTTTAAAAAGTAATTGAAGTAATTCGGACACTGCGAACCACGTGGCAATACTTATTTTTTGTTCCGGCAGCTTTAAAGTATCGAAAAACACAATGCCAAAAATTGCCAAAATTGCGCGAAATTTGAATTTACATTGCATTTTTTGCAATTTTAAAACATTTCCAGCTTTTCCAACCCTTCAAGCGCCACCACCATAAAAATTATATTTTTCCTGCCATTTTGAAGCACTTTTAATCAATTTCAATTTAGGTGGCATTTCAAGACTGGACATGTGGAATATACCGCTAAGTTGGTATGGGAAAAATATGCAAATCATTTGAAGTGACCTTTTAAATGTTTGTTTAGCTGCTGAGAGCGTCCAACAGCCGTACTTCGGGAAACCATTCAAATTTTGCGCGATTTTGGCAATTTTTGGCATTGTGTTTTTCGATACTTTAAAGCTGCCGGAACAAAAAATAAGTATTGCCACGTGGTTCGCAGTGTCCGAATTACTTCAATTACTTTTTAAAAATCGAAAATTGATCAAAGTTGAGCTGAGATAAGGTTTAGAAAATGTGCCCAGTAGTTACTGTAAGGTTGAAAACGCGATTTTGAAGGTTGAAAAAACCTCTTTTTGAATAATAAAATTGTTTATAACTCAGAAACTACTGGGTGGATCTGGATGAAATTTGGCAGCATTGTCTAGCATATAGGTAGACATTTCCACGCAAGATTTCAGATCTACCCGATTATTGTACGAAATTTTACCGTAGTAAGTGTTATACGGTAAAAAATTGGTAAATCCAATTTTGACTCCAAAATGTGCAGCATAATCTGAGGAACAAGAATATATATTATTTATAGTGTTTGTGACACATCAAAACTGATTTCCAAGCGATTTTAGTATATGATCCCGATATTATCCATGACGATGTTGTTCCTCCCAAAGCTAAGTCGGAGGGAAAAATGGTAACAAAACGTTGTAAACATACCAACAATTCAGATAATACACAAAAATTGAAGATTTGAACGTTATGGCAAGGACTTTCGTACATTTCTTTGATTTTTGATGATTTTTTGTTTTTTTAAGAGTCAAAATCTTCAACTTACGTGTAAGGGGCCTGTAAAGACTTTTAACATGTCAGACAGACCTTTTGGGAAGAAATCCATCTTTCAAACACGGCAGTATGCAACAAAAATAATTCCAGGAGTAAAATTATATTATTCATGATAACTTGATGTTATTCTGCAAAACCGAGTGTATGGAGGAAGTGAAACGGCGGGTTTTATAGGTTCTAAGCGAAGCTTGGACCATGACGGACATCAGGAAGCCAAGTTAGTCTTACTGCATGCTCTAGATTTAAAACTAAAAAATCATTTTACCTTATTTTAGTGTCAAAAATGTATAAAACATGCCAAACTATGCCGATTTTTATGTTTTATACATCATTCTGGTTCAGTTTTTCATAAAAACCCCAGGACTGACCGTGAAAAGTCTTTCCTACCACTCTAAAGGCGACAATTTCAGCAAAAACAGAATGCCAAAATCAGGCAAACCAACGAAATACGGTACACGCGAAGTGTCCTGTTGATTAAAATTTGCCGGAGACACTTCGCGTGAATTCCAATGAAAATCCAAATCTCACGCGAAGTGGGCAACGAATAAAAAAATCTACACGCGAAGTGGGCCCCAGCAATTTTTGGCAAGTCACGCGAAGTGGGTACTAAGAACTATGCTGACTACCCACTTCGCGTGAAACCCATTTCGCGTGCACGCGAAGTGGGATATGCGACTCACGCGAAGTGTCCCACTCGCGAAGTGGGCTTCCCCCGGGAAAATGAATTGCGCCGCGAAAAAATCAAATTGCTTTTCACTTCAGCGACTTATTGCGTTCACTTAACACAACTTCGTTTCTCGCCGGCGATGCGATTTTCGATGCAACAGAGTGTTTATTATTTACATGCTGATATATTTGCAATAATTCTTTATACTACACTGCTGGAATTTTTGTTTACTCGAATTTCATTTATTATTTTTCCCGACTTTTTGTTGATTCTTTGTTAGCAGAGTGCCAATTATGAGGGGTCGATTCGTAATTACAGAATTGCCAAAGCTTGCATGGGAAAAAGAAAATTTCACCTTGCGTTAAAAGCGACAAATCTTGCCTTTTTGCAAGTTTTGGCTTTCCTTCTCCCACTTATGAATTTGAAAATCAAATTTTGGTAAAATCAGTTGCACAGTAAACATGTAGATTTTCGAGGCAGCCAACAACAAAATTTTTAAAACAAGACTTTCCGGGCACTCTTTCCCTCCCATTTTCTCTAATTTTGCTCCAAACTTTCATGTATAATTGATAGACCCCTTCATCAACGTTGGCCGCCAAACATTTCCCAGCGGTCACTTTAACCATCCCCCACTTGGTCCATTTTTTGGCGCAGACTTTTCACGGAAAAACTGCAATTAACTCTTGGGGGGACCGGAAACCGCGGCCATCCGAAGCCCTGCGCGCGCGCCTTAACAAACGCACACAAAACTAGCGGAAGCGGTGTGAGGAGCGACGCATAATTTTTGCATGTGCGCGGCGTGAGATTGTCGGTTGGTTGAGACAAAAGAAATACGAGGAGAGGCGGAACGTCTCGGAGAAGAGGGCAGATAGCAGTCTGTCGGGAAAATAATGAGACATATCGCTGTGCCAATCGTGTCACTGAACTGAAAATCAATTCGATTTTGCGTCGACACACCTCATTTTTCTCGACGGCGTTGCGATTTTCGATGCGAAGGAGTGATCATTATTTTTC